CTGTAGTACATAACTTATTTTATTTTCTTTATTCAACTTAAATAAATTATTTAGATGTGTTTATAATAATAATAAAAAACCAGTATAAGCTAATAATATCATATGACAATTCAGGCAGCGCCATCTAGGCCCATGCTAAGCAGCTTTACTTCCGATGGTCGCGTGTTCGATTCCTCGCACGGTACAAACATTTGTATTCATGAGTATGAATTTTTGTATCGATCTGGGTGTTTTATATGTATATGTATATATAATTTAATATCTTTTAATATTATATCCTGTGTTATTCTGATGTATAGGGTACATTACTGTAAAGTTTCATCAAAATTGAGTAATATTTGTGACTTTTTATTGCATTTCGGAACGCAGTCAGTAGCCGCGCGTGTTTTTTTTTGACAGTTACGATAATAAAATGAAAGAGACAGAAGAACGTCGCACTCGCCTACTACTAAGTCGTTCCACCTATTACGCCTCCCCTCCGATCGATCCCCTCCAATTGAAACGGGGATCGATATTACGACGGCCTGAGCCGAGGTTCGAACCCCTAGTGGTGCCCTCAGACTATGTAAAGTCGTATCCGTCAGGCAGGAGTTGGCCTTCGAAGAGCCAGGCCTAGAGGTGGGGGCGTATCCAACTCCGCCCCCCTCTATCCCCCACTGGGGCCGGGGTGACTGCCTTGACAGAGGCAGTCCCCCCAATCCAAAGGCCCCGGAGGTGTGCGCGTGTACCCACACGCCTCCACAATGGAGTAGGGCGAAATAGGTCGCCCTAACCACATAACGAGATGGGGCCTGCCCTACAACATCTACAGGGCGGGCCGTCGCCGTCGGAGCTGGGGTAGAAATGCACTTGCGAATCCCCTGGCTCCGGCATAGGCGCTCGTAGGTACACCGTGTGGTTTATGGTGAGTACAAGTCTCACACACCGCCCCGCCCTCCCTCCGGCGGGGTGACGGTCTTTTGAAGATTCTCCACACGTTAAAAAAAAAAGGAGTTTGCCTTCAGCCGCTCCATAAGTCCTTCCTTTGGTTTGGAGTGCCATCTGCACTCGCCCCTAACGTCCGGTGAAGCTGTAAAGGCCAGCTGCGGCCAACAGCATTAAAGTAGTCCGAAAAAAAACCTATTATGCGAAATGGCATATTTAATGTATGTTAGATGAACATATGGTTTTCAGTGGCACCAGAAATATATATATAAAAAAAAGAGCGAGATAATTTAAAATATTAATGATAATAATTAAAACTTTTAAATATTATAATTTCAATAATTTTATACATATTCATACATGCTTACAATAAAAAAAAAAAAATATGTCATATAATTTTTTTTATTATTTTACCAAAATATAATTTACTAATTTTATACTGATTTTGAAATAAAAAAAAAAGAATACTTTTCAATTTTTTTTTTTAAGATTTCTAAATTTTATCCTTTAATTTTGCATATTCTGCCAATTTCCGAGCATATTTCGAGCATTTTTCATGCAAATTTGCATGCATATTACAAGCTTTTTATGTTGCATATAATCCGGTCTCTAGTTATTTAATACCGTTAAAATTTAAACATTCTTTTTAGGAAAATTATATTAGATATATAGAGACAGCCCTTGGATAGCGGCGACAAATCTCGAGATAAAATGTGTTTTTTTGTGTAGATACACATGCATTGCATACATGTCACGTGGATAATATTATTATTTATATATTTTTTTGACGACCTCGGTTACATGCATTGCATGCATGTCACGGTGTTTGTATTCATGAATATGATTGTTTGTATCGGATATTATTATTATTTATCTATGTATATCTATCAGTTATGTATTAATTGTGTGAATTGTCCTGAGATTATTATTATTATTATATATTAATTTGTTAAATTTTTATTTCATCATGTTGTGGTATGGTTATCTAGCACGTGTGATTATACGACGGTCGAGCGCAGTGATGGCTGGCTCATCCGTCATACTTGTGAACGAGTGCTGCTTGTCTGCTCTTATCACTACGACTGATTTAATCTTATTGTGTTTTTATATTTCAGCCTAAATAAATTAGTGCTGGTTGGTAGTTTGTATTCACATGTTTCGACTTGTAAAATGTGAACTTACAAGGATTGTTTAAAAGAGCAACACACAAGTTTCTTGCTTATTCTTCTTGTGATGAGACAGCTTTCCGAATAAGCGGTAGATTTAAAAAAATGTTGACTATTTAAAAGTGCTTAAATTAAGTTTATTTGAATAAATGATTTTCTATTCTATTCTATTCTATACGCCTGCGTAGGTACGAACTGAAATCCAGCGCTGGACGCGCATCAGTCCAGCAATAGCTGAGTTTGTACCTATTGCCAATCATGTTAAATATGTATAAATGTGTAACTATGTAACTATACTGATATTGGCAATAAATGGATTTATTATTACAGATATCTATCAGTGGCGTAGTTAGGTAACCAAGGGCCCTGAGCCAAATAAATAAATTACAGTTTTATCAAAACTCACATATCGCTATCCGTCAAAATGACAACACTGCCAACCCACAGAAAGAATTTAGAGGAATTCCGAAGGTATAACTTTCGAATTTCTCTCAACTGAGTTGCTATAATTAAAGTTAGGTTGCAACCTGTTATATTTATTTTGAAAATGGGAGAAATTTTCAAAAGTTCAGGGCGACTGAGATTTTCTGGTAAGGGTTCGAGGGCCCCCCTGAACTTGAGGGCCCCGAGGCACTGCCCCACCTAGCCCCTATGTAGCTACGCCACTACTAACTATTAAGGTTATGTGACAATAACTACTTCTTAATGCTAAAATATGCAATATATAACCTTCATAATGTCTGGTAAATACCCGCGCGAAGCAGGGACGAACCGCTAGTTATCTATAAATAAAAAAATGTATTACTTACTAAAAACTTTATTAAATTCATTATTAATACAAATAATTAGTATATAATCTGCTTTTACAGGTTCTTTCACGCAACAAAGAGTGTGTACGTAAATATAGAGAAAGAGAACGAGAGAGACCGCGCGCGCAAACAGTGATCGCACTCCCGCGTGTTACAATACACAGTGATTTAGCGCCATTTTGTAATAATTATCATTTCAAAATGGCGGACACCTGACTACAGAGCAAAGATATAATTATAGAGTTAGTGATAATTCACTTGTAAAAAAAATATGGTGTTTCCTTCGATTTTATTCCGTTTCTACCTCGAATTAACGCATAGTTTGAATATAGCAACATTTTTTCTCTCACACTTTTGTGATTTAGCGCCATTTTGTAATAATTATCATTGAAAAATGGCGGATATCTCAGAATAGTATAAATAGTCTATATATAGACTAGTTGGCAGTTTGTATTAACAAATTTCGAGTTAAAAATGTAAAGTTACAACGATTATTTAAAAGAGCAACACGCAAGTTTCTTGCTCGTTCTTCTTGTGATGAGACAGCTTCCAAAAGTGCTTAATTTGAATAAATGATATTATACTATATTCTATAGTGCAAATGCATAATTATACTACTTATTAATGATGATTTATAAATCTTAAGTGTTTTTGGAAAATAAAGTCTATGAGACATAATTTTTTTTTTTTAAATATTGATAATTTATAATTTTTAAACGTGTCTTTGGAATATGAAGTCTATGGTACATAAAATATTTTTTTTAAAGTATAATGACCTGGCGCATGTTCCAGGTCGTTACCCTTTAAAAAAAATATTATATCACGCGTGAAAGAGTGATCAAAGAAAATAGTAAAATGCATTCCCTTGAGATTGCGCGCAGTCTTTTCCGCGCGTGAAAGAATGTCTCCTGTAAACGCTGCTATAAACTATGTACAACTTGAAATACTGTCTAAAGAAAGATCTATTTGGTCCCATATTTAAAATGAAATATATTTACATGCCAAAGCATGTAAATATATTTATGTAACTCAAATATCAAACCCACCATATCCCTCAACAAATAGCTTATAAATTCATGTTCTCCTGGTACTTTTGATGTAGTTTCTTTTTAATAGCAAACAAGTTGACATACCACATGATGGTAAGGGGTTCAAGTATTACGTAAGCAGATTTATTACCATTATTTACCCCCCACCCCCCCCTTATCAGCAAAAGTAAGCAAAGCTCTTTTAGAAAAAATCTTTTATTTAAAAAAAATAAAGTTATATTCCACGTGGACGAAATCACGTGTACTGCTAGTTTAAAAATGAATCTGTATTTGGTAATCATGTACAGGCTCATTTGAAAGTATATGAGCTGAGTTTCTTGTCAGTTCTCAGCTTGAGGGCACTTCCGAACTGACGATAGATTTGACATATCATAAGAGTCTGTAATAGACCTACATGCAGGGGCGGGTCGTAAATTTGTGGGGCACTGTGCTGAATTTACTTAGGGGCCTACCTAATTATATTACTCAACTAATACTCGGACCAAAAACAAGCGACCAGAAATTATCACTTACTTTTTGCATGGGTTGATTAATCTCAGGCTTCTCAACCTTACGATAGGTTTTTTAACATTCTAGATATTTTTTTATATTCTAAAAATCGTTTCAGTGGGGACTGGGGGCCTTTAGTATCCTCGTCCGCCCCTGCCTACATGAACAAAGATATTTTGATTTCATCGGCGTGGTGGGCTCGATGTGCTCCCTCAAATATGGTTGAGTACAATGATGGCTGGCTCATACGTCATACTCGTGAACGGGTGCTGCTTGTGGGGACTGGTCTGTTCAGGTTGTGAACACTGATTAAATTTTTTGTTCTTTGCGATAGCATATGCTGGTGGTCACTCTATTCTCCCAAATTTGAATTTTAATAACTGTATTTATCATAAACATGTTCCACTATTATTTGAAAAAATTACGAGCTGAGTTTCTTGTCAGTTCTTCTCATCTCGAAATCATTCCGAACTGAACGTAGATTTGACATATCATAAGAGTCTGTAATAGAAATGAATAAAGATATTTTGAATTTTGAATTTTTTTGAATTTTGAATTTTATTGGAACTAGGTAAATTAAAAACTTGGTACTACTGTTCAGGGTACTGTCCTGGATAGCATGTTCAAAATAATAATAATAGTTACAATTTTTGTGTTTCTGTCTGTGTGTATATGTGCGCTATAATCTCAGATACGACGATTTTGACGGCTTCGATGGACTAGTGGTTTAGTACCTTTCTTCCGATGGTCACTGGTTAGATTCCTCGCAACGCACAAACCTTTGTATGTTTGTTTTCTATGTACATTACTTGTGTTTAAAAAAAATATCCGTTGTCTAGTACCTATAACATAAAATCTGCTTAGATTGCGACTAGATGGCGCTGTGTGAATTATCCAGAGTTATTATTATTACCTGACCGCATTTTTAAAGTCATTTTCAATTTTCAACTTTGTTTCCTTCAGGATATTGTTCAGTTTTATATGATCATTGACTTGGTCGCCTGTATATGGTCTTTGGTAGAGTCTATTTACCTTCAGTTTTCCTATAGTTGACGGGTTTCCTTAAACTCCTTGTGTTAGCATTACTCTCCAATTTCCCAGGACTGGTGGCCCGTTTCAACGACTTCTTCCCTTCAACTTTCGATCTACTACCCCTGGCTGTTTTAGGCAAAACTAGTTTTTCTATCTCAGGGGATAAAATCGAATTTGCCTCATCAGTTTTGGGCGTAGAGAATTCAGTTTCCAATTTCTTCACTATATTCTTTCTTAATGACTGTTTCGAGTATGTTTTCACGGAAGTCATGGGGGTGAAAAATTGGTCTGGGGTCGAATCAGGGGTGAAGAATTCGGTAGTAGTTTTATTTGGTACTGGGGTTATTGCTTCTTCCGAAGGTTGTGTTGTTATTATTGACGGTTTGGATCGCGTGTTTCTAGGCGTAATACTTTCCAATACATGCCTGGTCTTGATTGGTACAGGTATTTTGAATTGTTCCTTTTTCGTACACTTTTTAGTACTCGCTTGCTCCTTATCATCACTCTCGTCTAAATTCAGCTTTATAACTTTCCGTTTTTTAAGTATCTCCTCATCCTTTACTATAACTTTCGTAATTTTCGGCGGGTTTTTCGCTTTCATTTCCGGGGTTTTTGGCGCTTCGATCTCCGCGCCCGGTGAGAGTTTCAACCCTTCGAATTCAACCTCTAAACTGGTTTCAACCGGTTTCTTCATTACTTTTCTCAACTGAGCCGACGCTATCATCAAATTCATGACGTCGTTACGCATAAAACCGTCGAATTTATCCACTTCCTGCATAGTTTCGTGTATCTTCACGACATACTCGTCGGCTTTATCATAATTCTTCAAAGAGAGTTCAAAATACGACGCCTCGATCAAGGTCTGTATTTGTATTCGTACAAACTCTTCCATAAGCACGCCCTCTACAATATCGACTGTGAACATCTCAAATCTACGTCTATAACTCTCTAAAACCTCTCTCAATTTCGCCTCAGCCAATTTGAAGCATTCTAGAGCACCGTCAAAGTAATTCGTGGCTATGTCTGCTTCGTTCGCGTTGAAGTACATTCCAGCTTCGAGACCAGCAATGTAACAGGCTATTATGCAACTGTACGGGTTTTCACAAGCGAAGCAGTGGCATTTTACATGTTTTAAGAAGTCCGGGGTACTGTAGCCCGGTACAGACACGCAGGGTACGGATGGACTGGTCTGCAATTTCTGGAACGTCATATTTTCCAGCATCGTTTCAATGTTCTGTTTGGGGGTGAAGTGGATTTGCTTCTGGGGTTGTGTTTGGGGTTGTTGTACCTCTTTTGCGGGTTGAAGTCCAAGTATTATTTTTAGACGGTTTTCGATTATTATCTGTGGAAGAGATATTATTATTAATTATAGATTCGATGACCTCGGTGGTCTAGCGGTCTAGCACACACCGCTTTACGTCCGAAGGTCGCGGGTTCGATTCCTCGCACGGCACAAACATTTGTATTCATGAGTATGATTGTCTGTGTTTTGTGTCGGTCTGCGTGTTTTCTATGTATTATATGTATGTATTTACGACAAAAAATTATCTATGTATTTCTATCAGTTATCTAGTACCCATAACACAAGCTTTAGCTAGCTTAACTTGGGTCTAGATGGCGCTGTGTGAATTGTCCTGAGATTATTATTATTATTATAGATTATTATTGCTGCTTGTAGGGACTGGTCTGCTCTAATCACTACGTTTGATTTACACTTATTTAGTTACTCAACCAGTTGGTTGTATATTTAATATTTTCTCTATTTGAGTATTTAATCGAATTAGTGGTAATTGGTAGTTTATTCATCACATTTCAATATAAAAATGTTAGGTAACAATAAAATTATTTAAAAGAGCACTTCATCATCTTGTGATGATAGATGTAAAGTAACAACAAAATTATTTAATATTCTATTTTTTGTAGACCTATTCATAAAAATATTTTATCAAATTGGATGTTATTTTGCGGAAATCCATTTAACTACTTATTGAATTTATATATTATTTTTTGAGACCACAAATATTCAGTGCGGGAACATAACCACCGCTGGCAGCGTTATGGTTATCTCTTTTAGTAAAATTACAATCTTTTTTGGAAACTATCGTTATAGAAACTATACGAGAGCTATTGTAAATTAGGGATCTTCAGACAATGAATAGGGTTTGGAAGTTTAGCATTGATTATTTAAGTCGTAGTCAGATCACTGAACAGGAAAAAAAGATGAAACTAATGATTAAGTGATGATAATATTTACGGCGATGATGATGATGGTGGTGATGCTAACGGTGATGTTGATGATTGTTATGATGATGATTAGCACGGTTATGTTGATGATGATAATGTTGATTACGTCAAAAAAGATAAAGGAGGTTGTGAATAAGATTACAAAAATGATAACTATATTGACAATGAACAAAAAATATAAAATTGAAGAATTCGTTAACGATAATAATGTTTTTGTAGAAAAATTTTAAATACATAGCATTGACAATATTATCTGATTACACTAATAATGAGTGCGTAGCGATTTCTATGTTGATTATCGCATATTTACAGATTTATACATTTTATTACACTGTAATTATATATATATAATAATAAAATATATATACATTTATTAATAAAGAGCTATACTTATATACACAAATTTCTTGCTCATTCTTCTTGTGATGAATCTGCATTCCGAATGAGTGGTAGAATCGAAATATGACTATTCAAAAGTGCTTGTAATGAGTTTATTTGAATAAAGATTATTTCTATTTCTATTATTTCTATTTCAATGATGATGAGAACGACAAAGGTAATGATGATGATGTAGGTACCTGTCGCGGGGCTGCGAGCGCGGCGTAGAGGAGTGCGCGGGGCGCGGCGGGGGCGGCGGGCAGGGCCGGGGCGGCGGCGGCGCGCGCCCGGCGCGGCTCGCACAGCGCGGCGGCCGCGCGCCCGGCCCGCAGCCCCGCGCGGGCGCTCCGCTGCCGGCCCCACACGCCGTGCAGCCGCCGGGAGCTCCACGCGCTGCCTGATAAACCGTCTACATTACTACTGGCTGAAAACTCCTTATACTTAGTCCTGTACTCAATAAAATTTTGTTTAAAGAGAAGAAACAAAGCTAGTAGAAAAACTATTTGGTTGTAGCGCAAATTAAATGTAACATATTTTTTTATTGGGTTATTTGGGCTATTGTCAGGTGCTCGGATCTGTAGCACTGCGACCTACATAGATCTATTGTGCTCGCCCTTTCAGTGTTCGCTACCTAGACCCGTCAGGGACGAGAATTGAAGGATATTTTTAAGAGCGATGGTTTTTATCTCCTCGGGATACAGTGTGTACTTTCCAAAGTAGATATTTTGTTTATGCATGAGTGGGCTACAACCACATTTTTTTACTGTAAAACTTTATTTACACATTCCAACACTAGATGTACGTAAATTTTTAAATTCTGTTGTGGAAACGTTATTTCAAGTTTTAAAAGTGATGTTAAAATAACTCCGATTAAACAAATCGGTATCGCAGGTTCACCACTACTCCGCTATAGTTGGTTTATTCGAAAATTTGACATTTACACCTGTCAATTTAGTGTCCGGGATTACAAAACAGACTATAGACACAAGTCTATATAGTCTACCCTTCTATAACACTCTCAGAACTCGGTTTTCATACAACGCGGTAGACGGTTTCCATAAAGTGTGCTGCGAATTTGTCTGGTTTGATACGGTTTAATCTGAGTTTCTTATAGCGCTGTTTCAATAGAGGGTGCTGCGAATTTGTCTGGTTTATACGGTTAAATACAAGTTATTTATAGCGCTGTTTCAATAGAGGGTGCTGCGAATTTATCTGGATTATACGGTTTAATCCGAGTTTCTTATAGCGCTGTTTCAATAGAGGATGCTGCGAACTTGTCTGGTTTATACGGTTAAATCAGAGTTTCTTATACCGCGGTTTCCATATAACACGCTACGAATTATCTGGTTTGTACGGTTAAATGCGAGTTTCTTATAGCGTAATTCCCATATAGCGCGGTACGCACTCACCGCGTTATAGGATGGTTGACTGTATCTAAGTTTGACTTTAAATGAATTTAGCTATACACTTACCAGCGGTGTTCACTGCGAGGTAATGACGTTGAGCTGCGGTGGTACCACTCAGAGGGCTACATATGTTCAAAGACCACTGGGCCTCCAATAGCCGTCCCGTTGATAAATCCACTGCAAATATACAAATTTATAAATATCCCTGGACAATTAACACAGCGCCATCTAGTCCCACGGTAAGCAGAGCTTGTGTTATGGGTACTAGACAACTGATATAAATAAATAAATAACTCTGGACAATTAACACAGCACCATCTAGTCCCACGGTAAGCAGAGCTTGTGTTATGGGTACTAGACAGATATAAATACATACATTCTTATTTTATAAGTATATATAAATAATATACATAGAATACATCTAGACCGATAGCCATAGTGTGAATTATCCTGAGATTAATAATTATTATTTGATATCTCTATTCATGTAGGTCTATTACAGACAATTATGATATGTCAAATCTACCGTCAGTTCAGAGTGATTGTGATTGTATCGATTGAGCACGATGAGACAGCTTTCCGAATTTAAAAAAATTGAGCAACAAAGGATTCGCAAGTTATGACTGTTTGGGAAACTACTCTGCTACCAAAATGTTAGGGAAAACGGTAGGTCACGTACCTTTCTGCGGATATGTTCGCTAGCTTTCACACACTTTCACAGTAGGTATCACAGTAGGTAGGTAGGTAGGTTTAACACAGTTCTAATTTATTTCTATTCACAACAAATGCGCGCGCAATTGTAAAAAAATTGTTATCTGTTACTAGACTATTCAAATGTGTTTAAAGTTGATTTCACTAAAGGTTTTTCTATTCAATTCTATTCTATTTTGATTATACTTACGATTGACGTCTGGGTGTTGTTCGCACACCGTCAGTATCTTCGCCTGAACATGTTGCACTAACTTAGCCGCCATGGTTGCTTTACCGGTTTTAGCATAGTATATCTGTAATGTAGAATAATATTGTATACAGTGAGCAAACGTTTGAACATAGTATCAGTAATTGTCCTATTTTTGGAACAGCCCGTTACGACTATGAACAAGTGGGCCGAATGCTTCTATATACCGAACTGGACGGTAGGGAAAAAAATTATAATGTAAAAACTTGACGTTCATAAGCGGCTAAAATGTCCTACATGAATAAATGATTTTTGAATTTGAATTTGAATTTGCTAAAAATTGACTCCCCCTACAAGTTGACCAGTATCATTGCGAAGCCGGAAACTCTAGCTTCTTATGAAGCACTTGCTAAAACAATAGTGAATAATTTAAAAGAGATAAATAACATATAAGTGTCATCATCATAATCCCATTTATTTGTGGTCGTCGTAATATGTTTTTCGCTTCCATTCATCCCTGTTCGCAGTCATCGCGTTATTTATACCATATCATCTTTCACACAGATCCATCTGTTTTTTATAACCATCTAAGTGTATAAATGCGTAAATACATAAGATATTGTTTTTTTGTTTTTGTTTGTAACACTTTATTGCACAATAAATACATTTAAATTAACTAAAGATACAACGATCTTAAAAAAAATATATATTATATGTAAAGATTTAAAAGTAACATATATATCTTATATATAAAATTCTCGTGTCACAGTTTTCGTTCCCATACTCCTCCGAAACGGCTTGACCGATTCTCATGAAATTTTGTGAGCGTATTGAGTCATCCCAACATCTATTTTCACCCTAAATGTTAGGGGTAGTCCACCCCTAAATTTTATTGTTTAGACAAAATTTTTAGTTTCTATTTTTTTATGATACGAGAAAATAACTATACTATAAAAAAAACACTTACCGCTGCATCACAAATGAATACAAGTGAACTATCCAAGGTTTCCTTGTCCATCATAAGGTCACTGCAATACTTGGTGGCAGTTTTAACAAGTTCTAGTAAACAGTCGCTCGGTTTGTTAGCGTGACCGAGTATGACGCCGGCGTTGCGGATGTAAGCCACTCTGTAAGGTAAATAAAGGTAATAAATGTTTTTATTAATCGATTTGAGAAGTTCCTCTCTTGAAGTAGCCTAAGTTACTCCTTATTACATCAGCTACCTGCCAATAAAAGTCCCGTCAAAATCGGTCCAGTCATTTCAGAGATTAGCCGGAACAAACAGACCGACAGATCGACAGACAAAATTTTTAAAAAGTGTTATTTTGGTGTATGTCCCGTATTTATATTCGTATGCATGTAGTAAAAAACGTTTAGTTCAATATTACAAACAGACACTCCAATTTTATTTATATGTATAGATAATCAGTTTTTTTAACTAGACAATAATAAAAGATGGTAATAAAACCATACCTGTCACCGAGTTTATCCGCTAGATGGCAGCAGATGAGCGCTAACTGCAGCGCGGGCGCAGTCCACCACAGATGCAGTAACTGCATTACACAGACCTGGGCAGTCTGCAGCGCTGCACGCAGCACTCCATCAGCTTCGTCTACCACAGATAATAATAATAATCTCAGGATAATTCACACAGCGCCATCTAGACCCAAGTTCAGCTAGCTAAAGCTTGTGTTATGGGTACTAGACAACTGATACAAATACATAGATATTTTCTTAAATAAATACATATTATACATAGAAAACACCCAGACCGATACAAACAATCATACTCATGAGCATGTTTGTGCCGTGCGAGGAATCGAACCCGCGACCATCTGTCGTAAAGCGGTGTGCTAGACCGCTAGACCACCGAGGTCGTCACAGATAATAACTAGCTTAAATACCTCATCATCATCATCTCAGCCCGGAAGACGTCCAATGCTGAGCATTTGTTAAGAATAATTTTCCGACGAGAGTAGAGTAGCTATCGGTTATCGTTTGGTAATTGAGTAGGGACGGGACTAGAGTAGGGGGCCCGAAAACATCGCGGGGCCCTGGGCATGTACCCTGTGTGCCCAGTGGGGAAGAGGTACCGGAAAGTATCCACAAATACGACTAAGATAGTGGTTTTATTCGGCAGGGTTGATTTATTTTTTTTAGGGATGCCAACGGAATGGAGCCCCCGCCTGCGCTAACGGTTTCCACTGGCGGGGCACCAGTGGGGGATGATAAAATGAGCATGAGGTCAGGTCAGTTAACCCCAGGAATTAATCACGATGGTTTCCAGGGGGAACCGCGTGGAGGTCAACCTGATGTAGTACATTGCTAGCAATGGGGTCATCAGTCCCCATTACTAACAATGTCCTTTCCTTGTCTCCACTTCCTTACCACCCCTGGTGTTTCAGGCGTCCATAGGCTACGGTAACAATGTACCATCAGATGGGCCATATGTTAGTGGTAACAATTTACCATCAGATGGCAAAACAGATGTGCCGTATGCTTGTTTGCAGGGATGTTATGGATATGAAATTTCGGAAACGGAGTGCTAGCAATGGGGTCATCAGTCCACAGTACTAACAATTCCCATCCCCCCAGCAGGGTTGTGTTATCTCGCCATAGATGTTATAAAGGATTGGTCCTTTTCAACATCTATCGCGAATATATCATGCCATCATATCATCATGACAGACGCTTGAGGAGTGGGAAGGAGGCGTAAAGGTAGAGAGAGTAAAAATCTCTAACCTGCGTTACGCTGACACTACCTTGCTGGCATCATCTGAAGCCGAAATGGCGGCAATAATGGATCGCTTGGAGACTGTCAGACTGAAATAGGGCCTTGCTATTAATAAAGGCAGGACCAAGCTTATGGTAATCTTTTTTTTTATAACACGGGACAAACGAGCATGCGGCTCACCTGATGGTAAGTGATTACCGCTGCCTATGAGCAAATTGAAGACAACTGGTCGATAAGCCCACCGTACAAACGTCTCTGTACTAAAAGAACTCAAATTGAAGACAACTGGTCGACAAGCCCACCGTACAAACGTCTCTGTACTAAAAGAACTCAAATTGAAGACAACTGGTCGACAAGCCCACCGTACAAACGTCTCTGTACTAATAGAACTCAAATTGAAGACAACTGGTCGACAAGCCCACTGGTCGACAAGCCCACTGTACAAATGTGTCTGTACTAATAGAACTCAAATTGAAGACAACTGGTCGACAAGGCCACCGTACAAACGTCTCTGTACTAATAGAACTCAAATTGAAGACAACTGGTCGACAAGGCCACCGTAAAAACGTCTCTGTACTAATAGAACTCAAATTGAAGACAACTGGTCGACAAGGCCACCGTACAAACGTCTCTGTACTAATAGACCTCAAATTGAAGACAACTGGTCGACAAGGCCACCGTAAAAACGTCTCTGTACTAATAGAACTCAAATTGAAGACAACTGGTCGACCAGCCCACCGTACAAACGTCTCTGTACTAATAGAACTCAAATTGAAGACAACTGGTCGACAAGGCCACCGTACAAACGTCTCTGTACTAAAAGAACTCAAATTGAAGACAACTGGTCGACAAGCCCACTGTACAAATGTGTCTGTACTAATAGAACTCAAATTGAAGACAACTGGTCGACAAGCCCACTGTACAAATGTGTCTGTACTAATAGAACTCAAATTGAAGACAACTGGTCGACAAGATGTACAAATGTGTCTGTACTCAGCAATGAGGGAACAATTAAAGAAGAAAGAAAGAATTAAAGAATTAAGAAGTGGTTTTGCTACTTATACTGAGTCACATACCTATATCTGATAGTAGATATATCTCGGTCCATACATCGACAGCTTCGACAGCACGCCGCGCGGCATCGTGCTCTTGTGACAACGTACGGACAGACGAAATCAGATCCGGGTCCATACTCTGAAATTTACAATAAATAAATATATAACTGTTTTAAGTTAATGTTTTTGTAATTAAGGATTTCTGATTCCTGCGACACAAGTCCTGAGCTTAGTGCAGGGATGCTGTTAATTGTCTTGTTTACAACCATTGATGTAATATGTACAAATAAATAAATAAATAAATAAAAATATAATAAATATAAATGGCGTTTAAAAAAAAAAAGAAATTAATTGAGTTTATTGCCAGTTCTTCTCAACTCAATATGTATAATGAAACATGGCAATACTAGTTTTGTACGTGTGGGGTCAGTAACAACAAATATACAAATAAAATAGATCCTCAACTAAAAATTAGTATATTGAAAAGAATATAGTATTAACAATAGATTATCTTAAACAAAACATATATATGGAACAGAGGTAATTTATTTTTCAGAGATTTATAGGTGAAATGTAGAACATGTCAGTCTGGTCTGGAAGCGGCCAGTTGTCATGAAAAAAGGTAATTGTGTGAAATGATTATTATACAAATATATACAGTACACTATATGCGCGTGGGATTTCCACTCAATACATAGACACCTACATAAGAACACAAAGTAAAAAAAACTGTTGAATTTCTTGTCAGTTCCTTTCAAAGGGGTAACGGTAGGGAAAAAATAGTAATACAAAAATTTGACATTCATAAGTAGCTAAAATGGCCTGCATGAGTAAATGATTATTGAATTTTAAGATTAATGTTAACACAGCGCCATCTAGTACCATGGTAAGCAGAGCTTGTGTTTTTTTTTTAAAGGATTATAATGGAATAATAATAATAATAATAATAATCTCAGGACAATTCACACAGCGCCATCTAGACCCAAGTTAAGCTAACTAAAGCTTGTGTTATGGGTACTAGACAACTGATACATATACATAGATATTTTTTTTTTGTAAATACATACATATTATACATAGAAAACACCCAGACCGATACAAACAATTATACTCATGGATACAAATGTTTGTGCCGTGCGCGGAATCGAACCCGCGACCAACGGACGTAAAGCCGTGTGCTCAACCGCTAGACCACCGAGGTCGTCAATATAGTTTTCTGTTAATACTTTTTAATATATGATTACTCACCGGCTCTGCTATCTTCCATTCGTATTTCTGACTCGCTTCAGCCAGATCGTATTCCGCCTTCAAATACAGTATTGTAGCATAGACAATTTTCAATTTTGTCGTTGATATCTAGAAAATTAAATTTTGCATTATGGTCTTTGTATATTTGTCACTGTTACACATATAAAAAATCTAGTTGTAAAACTGTAACAAAGTCCGAAAAAGTTGGGCGTCATCGACTTTATATTGAACTAGCTTTTGCCCGCGGATTCGTTCGCGTTAATTTATCCCCTTAAGGATGGAATTTATGAAAATCCTTTCTTAACGGATGCCTACGTCATAGTAGCTTTATGCATGCAAAGTCTCAGTCCGATCGGTTTAAAATTGACAAAGTTTCATACAAACTTTCATCCCTTATTTTATTCCCTTCGGGGTAGAATTAATCGAAATCCTTTCTTAGCGGTTGCCTACGTCATAACATCTACCTGAATGCCAAATTTCCCGATCCGTCCAGTGGTTTGGACTGTGCGTTGATAGATCACTATGTCAGTTAGTCTTAAGTTATATATATTTAGATATTTAGTTAAAAACGACAAAAAATGGGATTAATATAACACTAAACAGTATTTACTATGCTGTTAATGATGCATGAGTTATATATATTTAGTTAAAAACGACAAAAAATGGGATGAATATAACACTGAAGAGTCGCAAATATATTGCCTAAAATTTACTATGCTGTTAATGATGCAATCGAGGAAGATCTGGGCCGTTGTGCGTGTAGAGCCGAGACTACTACAGTAACCAACCAAACTCCTCCCAGGAGCGCAGAAGTCTTCTGGTGTCTTCACATGTTTCACGGAGAGACATCACCTTTTGGATTTGTATTGGTGGCCACTACAAGCACTCCAGGATTACGTGAATTGGTTGACCGAACCATGAACTACCATGGTTTGTATGGTACGAGTTTCTTATAGAGCGGTTTCTGTATAACGCAGTACGCACTCACCGCGGTATAGATGAATTGACTGTATATAAAGAGCGCGGTCCGCAGATCCCCGTCCAATTCAAACAGGGACCGATGTTACGACGGCTCGAGCCGAGGTTCGAACCCCTAGGGGTGTCCTCAGACTAAAGTCGTATCCGTCAGGCGGGAGTTGGCCTTCAGCCGCTCCATAAGTCCTTCATTTGGTTTGGAGTGCCATCTGCACTCGCCCCGTATTGTCCGGTGAAGCTGTAAAGGCCTGCTGCAACCAGCATTAGAGGAGTCCGAAAAAAAAATTCATTGGCGAGACAGCGTCCCGATAGGTGCCTTCCGACCCTACGACCAGGGTTCCCTGTAGAATATAGTCCAGTCCTGTCATGGTCAGATGGCAAATTTACAAAAAAATCAATACCAGGTAAAAATGGGGGGTCTACCCAAAACAGAAAAATATAGCAAAGGGTCTACGACACAAAAAAGTTTGGGAACCTCTGCGCTAGACCATCGAGTCTGTCAAATACTGCAAAACGATGACTTACCACACACTGGTCAAGTTTTGTAACAACTTCAGTGACGATACTGGCGTAGTACTGACTGTGGATGGTCCTGACCACTATTGGTGTTTCTACCATCACCTCGTACAGCGTCCACTGTAGAGTTTCTTCACTCTCGCCTAGTAACGGAAAATTTCATATATGTGATACCTATACAAAATTCTAAAATCATTTATTCATGTACGACATTTTAGCTGCTTATGAACGTCAATTTTTATGTGTATATTTAAAACATATACTATATTTATATAACACTAGCTGTTCCCGCGACTTCGTCCGCGTGGAATTTAACTTTATGTTACAAGTACTTACAGTCTTACAGTGAATCGAATTCCGAGATTCTTACCTAATTTTAGCTCAAATGACTGGACTAACTAGATTTGTAAGGTTACCTGCGATCCAAGATGGATGCTGTCCCTTCACCAGGTCGTTCAATGATCTCCACACACCAGCAATCGGTACCACAGAGGGCCAGAGCTTCGCGTACATCGTGAATTCATGTTTCAACAGCACACTGAAATTAAAAGTGCAAATAAATATAATTACTAACTGATTTATTTTGTTACCCAACTAACTCTTTATTTATTTAAATATAAAACACTTCCTTTGCAAGAAACCTTACTATAAAATTGAAGAATTCGTTAACGACAATAATGTTTTCATAGAAAAACTTAAAATCCATAGCACTGACAAAATTATCTGATTACACTAATAATGAGTGCGTAGTGATTTCTATGTTGATTATCACATGGCTCTTACTTGTTATACTGTAATTATATATATAAAAAAAACATCTATTCAAAAGAGCAACACACAAGTTTCTTGCTCATTCTTTTTGTGATTCATCTGCGTTCCGAATGAGTGGTAGAATAAAAATATGAGTTGTGGAGAGGTTTAGGACTATGACTACTTTTAAACCTCTCCACGTATCCCCAAGGGGGGAGAGGGGGGCTGGGGAGAGAGGGTTTAAAAATGCTTAAAAGATCACGTGATTAAAGGACAGCCCCCAATAAAAGCGAAGCATCAATGAAAAAGGTTGCAAAAACGGGGAAAATTATTCATATTAGATAGATAGATAAAAATTTTATTCATGTTAAAGGCACACACACACACACAAAAGGCACTGTAATAATAAGAACAAAAATAAAAACAGATATACACATTACATTAGTGATTATGACACATCATATTAGAGGGCTTCCGTTGCGTAAACGAAGTCGCTAGTAAGTTATATATGTTCATTTAATTAATAAAGATTATAACTTACCTAAACTTTATTGGCGTCATGAAAGCTTTCAAATTCCCATATAAATTACTTTCGACACACATTTTACAGGCTTCCAACACTGTCATCAGTTGGATGGAGTCCTGATTGTCATCATCATCACAATTCTTCAGCGCTTTCGCTTTTATATCCATCACTAAGCTCATATACTTATCCGAGCTTAAACTGTCAGGTTGAGCGAAAAGTAAGCTCAAAAATGCATCTTTTAATGCATCAATATATATTTTACTATCCAATTCACAAATACTCTTATTATATAAAGCTCGACTTATATTTTTAAGCTCAGATTCATTTTTAAAACAACGTATTTCATGTTTAAGGTAAACGTTGAAGAGTTTGATTGAATATTCGTGGTATTGAGCTTTGTTTAACACGATTGCCGTATTGTGAATATCAGTTTGCAGTTTACGAAAACATTTCTCATGATTAAAACATTTCAAAACATTTAATTCATTTAAAATATTATGTTGTTCTTGTATTATTTGGTAATAAACAGGTAATATATCATTTATATTTATTCCCTGATTTACAGATATGTTTATAAAATGTTTCATCAGATAGGACAGGCGTAAGGCGTCATGCAATCCAGATTGCACCTTACAATTCTCACAGTTAACCGACTGCCTCATCTTCCTCGATTGCACCATTAACAGCATAGTAAATTTTAGGCAATTTATTTGCGACTGTTCAGTAAAATATTGGTCCCATTTCTTGTCGTTTTTAACTAAATATTCAATGTACAGTCGGAGTAGTTGATTTAAGAATGGATATGTAGCACGTAAAACTTTACCATAACCTAATTTCTCTGTATTCTGACACGAGAGGAACAAGCTGTTGAAGATTGACTCTATATATATAGAATTCGTCATGTAACTGAAAATATTGCAAAAGGCATTCGAATAGAATGTTTGGAAACAATGCAAAATGTCAGGACAGTGTCCCGTGAATATTGTAAAAGAATGTACAACGTTATTAAGTATGGAATCGGCGTAATTAATTTTAGACGAGTTCTCAACGATCGTATAGAAACAATCATTAAATTTAACATACAAATCCATTACTTCTTTATTTGTCAACTTTTTGAATGACTTCAGATCGTTCTTCGATGTGAATTTGTCAAATATATGATTGTATGTTACGTTTAATTCTTTAGGACAGTTGTCGCTGTAGAGGTAATGTAGTTTTTTTATTAGAAACACTAATATATTAATACAATATTGCGCAGTGTCGTATATTTGTATGACTTTGAGGGTGTCCTCAGTTAATTTCTGGTGTAGCTTGACGATGGGTAGTCTGCTGGACTTGAGATGTTCGATATATGTTATTCTGTCCGCTAGAATACTCCAGTATGTTTTGTAATATTCATTTAATAAACTGTCCGAGTCACACTCGAATGGCATGTACGAGATTTTGAGCACCAGTTGAGGTGGTATTGAAGATTTCTGGAAAACACAATGTAATATTTATAACTTCTTTTCTTCAAGTGTATGAAGTCACAATGACGATTTTATTATAGACTAGCTTTTACCCGCGGCTTCGCTCGCGTTAATTTATCTCCTTAGGGGTGGAATTTAACAAAATAAATTCTTAGCGGATGCCTGCGTCTTATCATCTACATGCATGCCAAATGTCAGTCCGAACCGTCCAGTGGTTTGGGCTGTGCATTGATAGATCATTATGTCAGTCACCTTTGAGTTATATATATATATATACTAGCTGTTCCGGCAAACGTTGTTTTGCCATATAAATTAATAACGCTATAAAAAAATAGGGGTTGATGATAGAAAGGTGAAAATTAAGAATTATGTGTGTAATATATATAATAAAATTATGTATTTTTGTATGTTGTATCATAAAAAAATAAAAACTAATAATATTGTCTAAAAATTAAAAAAAAATGGGTGGATTACCCCCAACATTTAGGGGGATGAAAAATAGATGTTGGCCGATTCTCAGACCGACTCAATACGCTCACAAAATTTCATGCCGTTTCGGAGGAGTATGGGAACAAAAACTGTGACACAAGAATTTTATATATAAGATGTATGTATATACTTTATTTTAACTTTTATGGAGTGCCGTAGTCAGAACGAGGGAATCTTTAGAGTGCAGGTTATGGTCATGGGCATCCCTGAGATACTGAAATTTACATTTCAAGTATTCAGGGAAAGAGGGACTTTGAAGATTTTTCCGCAGTCCACAGTAAACAATATTGAACTTACCTTTCTAACAATATATCTATGTATATGATATATACAGGCCAGGGTCTTCACACATCCAGGACGGTCCAGCAAGCGAGTCTCTCTTGCACAATCAATACTCAGAGTGAGCAATGAGCCATCATCTATCCTATCTCGCCATGATGGGACTTTCTCCAAGTTCCTGTAAATTGAAAATAAAATAGCTGTTAGCCACGACTTTGTCTTCACTAATTAATATTTTAAGTATTAATATTTGTTCTAAATCTGCCTGAAAAAGATTTAAATGTCCTACATAACACATTCTCAGTAAAAAATGCTTATTACAAAATTGATGAGTTTGTAAATATTAATAATGTTTTTGTAGAAAAAACTTAAAATTCATAGCGCTGTTAATATTATATGATTGCACTAAGAATAAGTGTGTAGCGGTTCATATGTTGATTATTGCATCTTACTTGTTATTGTGTAATCTATTTAAAACAAGTTTCTTGCTCATTCTTCTTGTGATGAGTCTGCATTACGAATGAGTGGTAGAATAAAAATAGGATTATTCAAAAGTGCTTGTACTGAGTTTATTTGAATAAAGATTATTTCTATTATATTGTAGACGGGCGTGAATACATAAACGAACTTTGAAATAAGTGAGGAAGTTTACAAAAAAACTTTACACTAAAACTGTGTTTTTGGTGGAGGAATATTCCAAGTCCACATAATAATTTAAAAAAATATTCACACTTGATAAACTTTTTGGTAAAGCCAATTAAGATGTGTGAGAAGAATATGTATTTAAAAAAAAAGAAAAATATATCGACGTTCTATATTTAAAATTATTAACTTTAAGATGACTGTAATGGCTATTACAGATCGCAAACAATCAGTATTATGAAACAGTATTTATTACCTGCATAAAATGCATAACACATTCAAAGAGAATGGACCACGGTCTTTAGCACTTAGTTTTGCCAAAATCACTTTGTAATCACCATAAACTTTGTCAAGATCATATAAGTCTTTATCCGTACCATCCGCTTTCAGTTTAACAATAAAGTCATTGGCTTCCATATTAGACAATTCCTAGACTTTAGCACTATACAGTACTATCAAACACATTATTTTAAGAACAGCAATTGGTTAAAATATGAATGTTTTTATTTTTCTTCATTAGTAAGAGCCGTTAGAATACAAAATTAAATTCGAAAAGTTACGGACATGAAAAAGTCAATGTCAGATGGATGATTGAAGTCATATGTCAACTGTCAATTTATTTTTTCTTTTTTAGTTACAGAAGCATGATTTCGTTGGCAAATCAAATCTTTACACGGCTTTAAATTATGTTAATTACATTTTATGTTAAGAAAATTTATTTTATTACCTATTTTAACATATCATGATATTGTGATGGATAGATAAATTATACATACAAAATAAATATCAATTAGGGACAGCCGAAAGCATTAAGAAGAATCGCTTTACTTTCTGATCTGTTTCTGTTGTAGTCTCTACATTTGTTTGCGGTCTGATCTGTGCACAAAATGGACGTTTTTATATTTGTCGGCGTTTGATCTTTTAAAGCAATGTATATTGAAAATAATATAATTTAATAAGAGATAACTGCATAAAACAATAGTTAAGAATATATTGTCTATGTTACCGGCATATAACTTTTGCACCTGTTGTGAAAGTATTCAATAAATCTGTTGTAAGTAAAACCTTTTTGGACAATATGAAACATAATTATAATAATTTGTCATTATTTAATAACTGTATAGTAATTACACTGTTCTTAATATGATTACTTTTATACTATTTGCTAACATGAGTGAGGCACATTTACTTTCAAACTTGCTCATAATTTTGTATAAGGTTATGTGTCTTCCGGTTGAAAAATGGCGGGAAAATAACATATGTTTTTAAATAATAATGGAATATTATCCCTGCCTGCGCTGACGGTGTACGCTAGCGGGGCACCAGTGAAGAATGATAAGATGAGCATGAGGTCAGATCAGTTAGCTAATCGAGACAAATTCATAAGGAATTTATGACAATGGTTTCTAAATGGAGCTGCATGCTGTTGCTTTAGTTATGGAGTGTCTTATCTTAGTTATGTGTGTAAAAAACACACCGGTAACAACCCTAAAATATTCTGTATTGTAAGTTAAAGAACTGGGTTCTCATACATTATTCAAATGCAAACTAAAGAATTGGCTGTAACTTGGTAATTTTTAGTGTCCAAGAATATTTAAGTAACACAAACACCTTCACGTAATTTGCATGCCTGTATGGTAAATATTGCTGATCAATCAATTTCATGTACATTATATTTACTGTACCAGTATTTCTCAAATAAATTATTTCATTTCATTACTTGTAATAAAACCTATATAGAATAGAAAATCATTTATTCAAATAAACTTAATTTAACCATTGAATAGTCTACAATTTTTTTTAAATCTACCGCTTATTCGGGAAGCTGTCTCATCACAAGATGAATAAGCAAGAAACTTGTGTGTTGCTCTTTTAAACAATCCTTGTAAGTTCACATTTTACAAGTTGATATGTGTGACTATAAACTATCAACCAGCACTAATTTATTTTAGTGATTAGATCAGACCAGTCCCTACAAGCAACGCTGGTTCACAAGTATGATGGATAAGCCAGCCATCACTGCTATATGTGTGTCCCGAGATACAAATAAAATTTATTATCTATCTCATAATGTACAAAGATTATAGTGTATTTTTTTTATTCCAGAAACTAAGAAGAACTAAAGATGAGCACATCACCGAAATACTACCTCCTTCTCTTCACCACTGTGGTTATATACTTTTGCACATCAAAGTTACTCTTCGACAAAGTATATGAGACACTACATATAGTCATAGACGAGCTGTTCCACATCCCACAAGGCTTGGCGTACTGTGAACGGAATTTCACATACTGGGACCCGAAAATCACAACTTTACCGGGGCTCTACCTGGTGTCTACAGCATTCCTCGGCTCCTATTTCTCCTGCAACACTTACAATTTACGTTTCCTCAACCTCATTGCGTCCTGCATCAACTTAATTCTATTCTCATCTATTCTAAAATTTGTATATGGCAACACTAGTCATCTTAAAACAGTGTGGCAAGCCTTAAATTTAGCATTGCTACCACCATTGTATTTCTTTTCGCACGTCTATTACACTGATACTATATCTTTAACATTCCTATTGGCGATATCTGGCTTTGTTAATTCGTCTAAATCATTGATTTTCTTGTTCAGTATATGCAGTGTATTAATGAGACAGACGAATATAGCTTGGATAGCTATGTTATTAGGTCACAAAATTGTTTACAACTTTATAAAGAGTTCTAGAGTATTTGGTAACCAGTATATAAGTCGCATATCCTTTATAAGACAGTCCATTATAGCTCAAGACATTGATACATCGAAATTGAAACGTTACTATGGGGTGTTAGATTTCTTTCACGCTTACAACTACCATAGGTCAACATATTTCGCTAATATCATTAAATATGTAACTGCAAATGACTTTCTAGACATATTAATGCACAGTGTAACTTTAATTTTATTTGCTATATTCGTTTATGTCAACGGTTCGATAGTTGTTGGAGATAAAACGGCTCATACAGCATCCATACATATACCCCAATTACTATATTTCCTAATTTTCTACGGTATATTTGCATTACCGTATGTTTTGGCGAAGCTGCAAACAACTATAAACCTTATATTCACTAATAAATTAAAAGTTATAATTCTAAGTACAATATTTGCACTTACGATTCATTATAACACAATAGTTCATCCTTATTTGCTAGCAGATAATCGGCATTTCACGTTTTATATATGGAATAGATGGTTCGGTAGATACGATTTTGCTGTATATGCAACTCTACCTGTATATATATTCCTATTATTCAGTTTATATGATAATTTAAGGGAACAGAACTGCATATCATTCTTGCTACCATACACCGTTAGCTTATGTCTAGTGTTATCTCTCCAAAGAATGATAGAAGTGAGATATTTTCTAGTTCCTTTCATAATATTGAGGTTGCGTTTTGTTAGACCGTCGTTCAAGATCATCATATTTGAGTTTGTATGGTATTTGATATTGAATGTTGCCATGTTTTATGTGTTCTTTAATAAGGAGGTTGTGTGGAAGGAGTTTGATTATCCTCAGAGAATTATTTGGTAATTTTTAAGTGTCAAAACCTATTTTTTAATATATGATAATGGAATGGTGACCACGTCTGCTCCAGCAGTATACGCTGGCGGGGCACCAGTGGATGATATAATCATTCTGGCATGAATGGATCATTCTAGTAAGAATTTACCGGTAATGAACTATGAAGGTTTCAAGATATCGCGCTGGTCGACCTGACATAGAACAATTCAAATTAAAAATATCTTTATTCATGTAGGTCTATTACAGACTTATGATATGTCAAATCTACCGTCAGTTCGGAATGATTTCAAGATGAGAACTGACAAGAAACTCAGCTCGTACTTTTAAATAAATGTTGTACATGTTTATAATAATACAGAGTCATTTAAAATCAAATTTGGGAGAATAAAGTGACCACTAGCATATGCTATATAAAAAAAAAAATCAAAAAATCTAATCAGTGTTCGCAACCTGAACACACCAGTCCCCACAAGGAGCACCCGTACACGAGTATGACGGATGAGCCAGCCATCATTGCACTCAACCATATTAGAGGGAGCACATCGACCCGGCCCACCACGCCGCCACAAGTTTGAACTTTATAGCGAGCATGACTGTTTCAAGTTACTCCACTACGTCATTTATATTATTTACTAGCATGCAATTGGGGAAGTGGATTTTTGATCCCAATGTCAGGTTGACCACGTGCTTTGTTTCTACATTGTCAGACAATTTTTGTTGTCATTAGTGATTACTTGCATTTATCTGAGTGGTATAGCGGTTGAGCACACCGTTTCACTTCCAATAGTCGCGGGCTCGATTCTGGCACGATACAAAAGTTGGTATTACTGTAATTATTTGTATTTTTGTTGTTTTCTATATGTGTTATATAAATAAAAGTTTATATGCGTATTATGTATGTATTTAGAAAATATGTTAAATATTTATATCAGTTGTCTAGGACCCATAACACTAGCTCTGCTTACAGTGGGACTAGATGGCGCTGTGTTAATTGTCCAGGGTTATTATTTGTTAGGTAAATTGGTGTTACCCAATTCAAGTAATTAATGAAAATGATTAAATTACTAGTCTGTATCCAAAGCCAATTTATTTCAATAATAATGATTAAACAAGTAAATTATTAAAAACAAAATTAAACGATTTTTGTTATTCTATATTTTTTTATATTAGTAACTAGCTGTTCCCGCGACTTCGTCCGCGTGGAATTTTACTTTATTTTTCCAATTTAAAAGGATTCTTTTAAAATAAAAATAGCCTAAGTTACTCCCTATTACATCAGCTACCTGCTAAAAAAGTCCCTTCAAAAGCGGTCCAGCCATTTCAGAGATTAGCCGGAACAAACAGACCGACAGACAGACAGACAAAAATTGTAAAAAATGTTATTTTGGTGTATGTACCGTATTTATATTCATAAGCATGTAGTAAAAAACGGTTATTTCAATATTACAAACAGACACTCCAATTTTATTTATATGTATAGATGAGATTTAAGCTCCCGTCCCACCTGATGGTAAGTGGTAACCGTCGCCTATATACATAAAAGTACCATGAAAGTATCATACTGAAAGTACCAGGAGAACGTGAGTTTATAAATAGTTTGCTGAGAGATATGGCCAGTGAAATTGCAGTGTATGGAGACCGGACCTCGTAGTCCTTCAGATCCGTACCGTATTAAGGTCACATGATAACGTGATGTCCGTAGTGCTGTTCATGTATATAGGCGACAGTTACCACTTACCATCAGGTGGGACGTTAGCTTGGTAGCCATTACCATCATTATAAATAAAATTAATTGTATTTTTTTTAATTATCTGCAAAAGACATGTCATCATGCAAGCAAACCATGGAAATAATTATTGAAGATGTTTAAATTTAGCTACCCAAAAGACATTATATGTATTTTTATCATTTATCTTTCATTAAAAATGAAAATATAACAGAACACAGAAATAATTATTGAAGTATTAAACTTAACTAAGCAAGAGACATCCATTTTTATCTTTTATAATTTATCTTTCATGTAAAAGATAAAAATATAGCATACCATAGAAATAATTATTGAATATGTTTAAAATTAACGCAAAAGATATATCCTTTTTTATCTTTTAGATAAAAATATAGAAATAATTATTGTAATATACACATAGTCGTACGCAACGACGATAAAATTTGATCAAAAATGCAGCCTTGAAAAGGTAAAAATGGACAGACATTTTCGGATTTATATAATAATCAATATATATAAATATTAATGTTAAAAATGTTATATCTATATTAAACAAGCAGAGTGTTAAATAAAAATTTGTTATTGAATGTACAGAAATAAAGTAGCATTTGTGATATTATAGCATAAAATTTTGTAAGCGAATTGTTTTTTTTATTATACGAATTCAAATTTGTATTAAATTTGTTTTCTTTACCTTATATACTTATATTATTATAGAAACAATAGAAGTTTATACAGAAAGGGAAGACTAAGACAGCTATATCAAGCAGAATAAGGGAAAAGTCACATAGTCGTGGTCAAGTCATGAACTTATAATTTAATATTGATAACAATAGGAGATCCGCAGAAGAACCAGAGTGACCGACATAGCCCGAAGAATTGCGACTTTGAAGTGGCAATGGGCAGGGCACATGGTTAGGACTCGTAGGACAGATGGCCGTTGGGGCAGTAAAGTCCTCGAGTGGCGACCACGGACCGGAAGACGCAGCGTGGGAAGGCCTCCAGCAAGGTGGACCGACGATCTGGTCAAGATCGCTGGAAGGCATTGGATGCGAGCAGCGCAGGACCGATTGTCGTGGAGATCTTTGGGGGAGGCCTATGTCCAGCAGTGGACGTCTTCCGGGCTGCGATGATGATGATGAACAATAGATACAAGTAAAAAGTAGGTATTTTATTAATGTACGTAACTACTGTACTTAAAAGTACATATTAATAAAGTATGGTGACAAAATATATGTATCTATATATAAATAAAATCATTATGTTCAATTAATGGTCCAACTAAGTCCTGGGTTCAGGGGGGGGGGTCATGTCCCCTCCCCAGAACTAAAAGTACATATTAATAAAGTATGGTGACAAAATATATATATCTATATATAAATAAAATCATTATGTTCAATTAATGGTCCAACTAAGTCCTGGGTTCAGGGGGGGGGGGGGTCATGGCCCCCTCCCCAGAACTAAAAGTACATATTAATAAAGTATGGTGACAAAATATATATATCTATATATAAATAAAATCAATATGTTCAATTAATGGTTCAACTAAGTCCTGGGTTCAGGGGGGGGTCATGTCCCCTCCCCAGAACTAAAAGTACATATTAATATAGTATGGTGACAAAATATATGTATCTATATATAAATAAAATCATTATGTTCAATTAATGGTCCAACTAAGTCCTGGGTTCAGGGGGGGGTCATGTCCCCCTCCCCAGAACTAAAAGTACATATTAATAAAGTATGGTGACAAAATATATATATCTATATATAAATAAAATCATTGTTCAATTAATGGTCCAATTAAGTCCTGATTTCAAGGGGGTCATGACCCCCCTCCCCCTGGATCCGCTGTTGATAACGGAGGAGAGATAGGTGGAAAATGCAAGAGCTTCACCGACTATAGTGCTCTTAAATGATGAAATTTAATATATATTGCCTGGGTAGACTGCAAGAAGTGGTCTGCGTGTGTACCTGAGTCTCACCTATTTCAGCCAAGCAGCTCGTTTTGTAAGATGTGTTTTATGCTGGGGGTTTTAGTGTTATCAAGCAACTAAATAATAATAATTTCAGATATTATTATTATATTTCTTTGTAATTACATAACATATACATAGAAAACACCCAGACCGACACAAACAATCATACTCATGAATACAAATGTGACGCGTAAGGAATCGAACCCGAGACGATTGGAAGTAAGATGGAGTGCTACACCGGTAGACCATCTATACCGTCAAATTCAGCGTTACTAGTATGTTTTAGCTTTTAGCTTTTAAGTTGTATAGTATATAAGATATATAGTATTCTTAATACTGTAATGCTGAATAAATGTCTTTATTATTATTATTATTATTATTAGATAGTCATACAAATGTAAATTAATATATAATTTTTGGGCTGACCAAATTTGAAGTCTGTACCTTTCGGTCTTATTCAGCTATTTAAACCACTGACCCACGACGCTTTTCAGTAATAAAACAAGCAATAGTTCCAAATTTTGTATTTCAAACACATGATATGGGCTTCATTGTATAATATCTAATTTAACATGTAAATATATCGGCTACGCCATACATAAACAAATTAATAAGAAAATACACATGTGTTTTTTAATTTAAATATATATAACTCAAAGGTGACTGACATAGTGATCTATCAACGCACAGCCCAAACCACTGGTCGGATCGGGCTGAAATTTATTTATTTATTTTTTTAATTCAGGCTACATACACACAGGCAATTTAGCATGCAGGTAGATGTTATGACGTAGGCATCCGCTAAGAAAGGATTTTGATTAATTCTACCCCCAAGGGGATAAAATAGGGAATGAAAGTTTGTATGAAACTTTGTCAATATTAAACCGATCGGGCTGAGACTGCATTCATAAAGCTACTATGACATAGGCATCCCCTAAGAAAGGATTTTGATAGATTCCACCCCTAAGGAGATAAATTAACGCGAGCGAAGCCGCGGGCAAAAGCTAGTTAATAATAAACCAGCTGTACCCGCGACTTCGTCCATGTAGAATAGTTACCTAGAGCAAATAAAGAAAAATATTTAATAATCTAACCAAAAAAAAAGTTTCAAGCTTCTAGCTTTAAAAACGGCGATTCCATACAATCTTTCAACTCCCCTTGCAAACCTTTTTCGCATTAAGTATGGGCTACTTAAAAGTACTGTCCTTTCTCAGGGTCTAGACTATCAGTGTACCAGATTTCATTTAAATCGGTTTAGTAGTTTTGGCGTGAAAGCGAGACAGACAGACAGAGTAACTTTCTAATAGCAAGGTTTAACTAGAAAGCAAATACAAAAATACACACTTCGCAGTCGTACATTAACCGTGTGATGTTTTTTAGCATTTTAAAATCTTAAACACGTAAAGTTTTACATTTGTTTGAAAGAGCCATAGACAAGTTTCTTGCCCATTCTTCTTAGATGAATCTTAACTATCTAGGTTCTAAAAAATATAAGTAATCGTGTTAAAAACACTTAACGATTAAGTACAAAGAACATAAACATTAATATAAATATAATTATTATTTTTAACAATAAAACATTCATTACAAACTACCTTTTATAATATACTCTAACATCAGACGATTACAGCAGTATAAATATAAACCTTTTGCCATTCTCAATAGAAAAGGTATAATAAAAAAAAACAATTACATATAAAGTAGCTTAACATTACTTTATGATGGCTGTATAAATATAGTCCTTTGACTTTTTCAATATAAAAAGTAAAAAAAAATCGATTCGAACAATTTAGAAATCTTGTTCTAGGTAACCTTGATTGCTATAGCAGTATGAATATACTGCTTTTGCGTCTCTCAATTGAGAAAAATAATAAAAAAAAAACTTTGTACCCAACAATAATTTGAAAAACTCTTATTCTAACGTTGTTCAGAACTATGGTAACATAATACATTACTAAAAAATCACAAATAAAAACTACTAAATCTATTAATATATGATTATCACTTATATTATTAACAATTATAAATGCACATTTTACAATATCTATCACAATTATTAGGAATGCTTTCAGAAACAAATACACCTAATAAAATCTGTTATTTACAACGCCGTAACAAACCCTGTCAGAAGAAATGGCGCGAAACGTCAGCCATTTTGAGTTACCATTTTAATTTGTCATCTTTCTTGAATTTTACAATAACTACTGACCATTCATCTAAATTTATGTAGATATATAATAAAACAGGTCATTTATTAAATTACTTATTACATATTTATTAACAATACATATTTCTTTAATATTATTTTTTTACTTCGTTGTTACTTATTTGTTAACAATACAATATTTTTTTATATTCTTTTTTTACGACTTCAGATGGCTTCTATGTTTGAATCTAAATTCGAAATTTGTAGCACGAGTTTCATTTTGAGATCGGGGCATTCTGTCGTTTATATTTTTTTTTATTTATTCGGAAAACCAATGCTATTTACAAAGATAGTTATAGATAAAGTAAAATCAGAGACGTCACTACAGGTTTTCATATATAGAGACTTATCATCTGCCCTAAAAGCCTTATGAAGCCTTATCCCATTTATTTGTGGCGTAATATGTTTTTCTCTTCAATTCATCCCATTTCATAGACAGAGAATCTCTCTTTTCTACTTATACGCTAAAATATTAATAGAGAGATATATATATTTTAGCGTATAATTAGAAAACAACTTGTAAAAATGTGAATCAACCCCAAGAGGTCATCTTTAATTTACGTCTTAAGGGGGCCGAAGGGGTCATATTACATACAGTATTATATGACATTGTTATAATTGAATTGGGGCCTTTATTAAATTACATCACACCTTAAGGGGTCAATAAAGTATTATATGACCTGGTATTAACTGATGGTAGGGGTTCTAAATTTCCCGTAGGGGTTGATTTAAGACTACTCGTGCATTCCCTGTAACAACTAACAAAAGGGGAAGAGGAGGAATATCTTGGGGTTTTTAGCTGGTAAGATATCTAAATATATATAACTTAAAGGTGACTGACATAGTGATCTATCAACGCACAGCCCAAACCACTGGACGGATCGGGCTGAAATTTGGCATGCAGGTAGATGTTATGACGTAGGCATCCGCTAACAAAGGATGTTTATTAATTCTACCCCCAAGGGGATAAAATAGGGGATGAATGTTAGTATGAAACTTTGTCAATTTTAAACCGATCGGGCTGAGACTTTGCATGCATAAAGCTACTATGACGTAGGCATCCCCTAAGAAAGAATTTTGATAAATTTCACCCCTAAGGGTATAAAATAACGCGAGCGAAGCCGCGGGCAAAAGCTAGTAAAATATAGTTTCATTCTCTTACATTGTTATATTTACAGGACGTTCATTGTTAAAACAATTTTGTGAATATTAATAATGGAACGGAATAAATAAATATTATTATTATTAATAATAATAATAATATCCCCAGACGATTAACACAGCGCCATCTAGTCCCAAACTAGGCAGAGTTGTTATAGATACTAGACAACTGATAGTGATAATTTGATACATTTTTTTATAAGTACATACATAGAAAACACCCATATTGATACAAACAATTATACTCCTGAATACAAATGTTTATACCGAGGAATCGAACCCGCGACGGAAGCCGTCAAAAATAAGCGTAACAAACGTATATCAAATAATTATATATATATAAAGTATCCATTAAAATCAGCCTAACTTAAATACATCTTAGCCAAGTTTATAGAAAAAAAACATCAAATATAATCTATGCTACGATCAAGCAACGTTGTTCTTTATTTGTTCATAATATATTTACGACTTGCTGTACCCGCGAGTTCGTCCGCGTGGTATTTAGCTATATTTTTCTAAAATAAAACTTACCTAAGTTCCTTCTTATTACATCAGCTACCTGCCAATAAAAGTCCCGTCAAAATAGGTCCAGCCATTTCTGATATTAGCCGGAACAAACAGACAGATAAAAATTGTAAAAAATGTTATTTTGGTGTGGGTACCGTATTTATATTCCTATGCATGTAGTAAAAAACGGTTATTTCAATATTACAAACAGACACTCCAATTTTATTTATATGTATAGATATATTTAAAATTCAACTATATTGTTGTCTTTCGGATAAATTTCGAATTTGATATCAAATGTTTCCTTCACCGGAGTCAATCAGAAATAGAAATTAGATACCATTCTCTTTTGGGTCTGTAAGATTTGAACCTACGACCATTTGAACGTAAATTAGGGTAGTAAACCACTAAGATCACGACTAATTTCACAATTGTACAGTTTTGTAACTTCAACCTTTTAATATTGGCTCAGATACCGTTGTACATTGTAATTCATTGGAGATCAATATAACATACTTTACACGCAACAATAACGTTACGTGAACGCAACGAACACGCAGCGTCAACGCAACGAACACGCAGCGTAAACGCAACGACAACGCAGCGTAATCGCAACAGAAACGAAACGGTATCGCACCGTAAACGCAACAAAAACGCAGCGTAAACGCAACAATAATTTATATCCACTTATCTTCTTTCCTGCCGTTAAGCAGCGGTGTAGATTCAAGTTCTTTGCTGTCACCTTTCACAGGACTCACGTCAGGCTTCCCACTCACGTATTTTGCTAGGTTGAGGTTAGAGACCACGTATGGTATCCCGGCTAGATCGCTACTGAGCGGGTTGTAGTACTGGCGATAGCAGAATATAGCTACTGTGTATCCGAGGATAGATCCCACTAGGACATCTGTAAGTAGAAATGAAAATATTTTTTATTAAAATAAATTTAATATAATCTATACATACAAAAAAATTGGAATGTCTGTTTGTAATATTGAAATAACCGTTTTTTACTACATGCATATGAATGTAAATACGGTACATACAGTAAAATAATTTTATTTGCAATTTTTGTTTGTCTGTCTGTTTGTTCCGTAACCTCTGAAATGGCTGGACTGATTTTGACGGGACTTTTTTTGGCAAGTAGCAACTTAGGCTACTTTTATTTTAGAAAAATATAGTTAAATTCCACACGGACGAAGTCGCGGTAACAGCTAGTATATAAATAAATTCTTCATTCGCCAATTACAGACTGCCCCCATTGATCGATCCCCCGCTCTGAACACTCCAAAGAACAACAAAGTAACGCCGACAGACCCCTCCGATCTGTTCCCGGTCCAATTCAAGGGGAGATCGACGATCGGATTACGATAGTCTGAGCTGAAGTTTGGCGTGGGCTATTCTCTATGAGTGGCGACCACGGACCGGAAGACGCAGCGTGGGAAGGCCTCCAGCCAGATGGACCGCCTATCTGGTCAAGATCGCTGGAAGGCATTGGATGCGAGCAGCGCAGGACCGATCGTCGTGGAGATCTTTGGGGGAGGCCTATGTCCAGCAGTGGACGTCTTCCGGGCTGCGATGATGATGATAATGATGAGCTGAAGTTTGAACTCCTAGCAGTGCTAGTCAGCCGCTCCATAAGTCCTTCCTTTGGTTCGGAGTGCCATCTGCACTCGCCCCCTATCGTCCGGTGAAGCTGTAAAGGCCAGCTGCGGCCAACAGCATTAGAGTAGTGCGAAAAAAAATTAACAAATATGTAAGTATAATGTATTAATCTTAGTAAAAAATTACTTTAAATAATATAGACTACAGATATAGTCTATGGGAACGTCGGAAACATAGAGGCATTGATTCTGTAGCCTAAAAATACATTGTAAGACGCGATTTATAATAAACTAACTTTTGCTCGCGGCTTCGCTCGCGTTAATTTATCTTCTTAGGGATGGAATTTATCAAAATCCTTTCTTAGGGGATGCCTACGTCATAGTAGCTTTATGCATGCAAAGTCTCAGCCCGATCGGTTTAAAATTGACAAAGTTTCATACAAACTTTCATCCCCTATTTTATCTCCTTGGGGGTAGACTTAATCAAAATCCTTTCTTAGCGGATGCCTACGTCATAACATCTACCTGCATGCCAAATTTCAGCCCGATCCGTCCGGTTGTTGGGCTGTGCGTTGATAGATCACTATGTCAGTCACCTTATACCGCGGGCAAAAGCTAGTATATGGTATGTATTTGGTAAAAGTAACAAGGTTCACACACAACATGTCAATCAATCAATATCATTTCTTCTTAAATATAATAATTCCTAAGTTCTATTCTGATTTTCATATACGAAATATACTGATATGCCAATTCTAAACATGTTAAATTATTAGTAGTAACTAGCAATCGAAGAAAATTGGTATATGAGAACTGGCCAAGATAGACCTTAGGCTACAGTATATTATCCTAAGTTATAAGAAGAAATGTATTATATATTGTTATAAATACATTTCAAGATATTGAACTTGGCACCCATTTAGATCTCACCTCTTTTGTCGTAGAAGTCAACAATCAAGGTATATATCATAATATTAAACTCGGCTATCATTTCACATTTATGTTTTTGATGGGATACAATATACTGATCTGGCAATAGAACTAAAAATACAATAGCAGGCAGAAACAGAGAAAACTCTCCCAATTATTATCTCGTCCAGCATCCCTACACACTATCCTCAAGATATTACAACTTCAGCCACTTACTTTCATAGAAATAATCTTTATTCAAATAAACTTAATATAAGCACTTTTGAATAGTCAGATTTTTTATTCTACCGCTTATTCGGAATGCAGATTCATCACAAGAAGAACACAGCAAGTTTCTTGTGTGTTGCTCTTGTAAATAATATACTTCTCCAAAAGCAATACTAAACACTTGTAAAAAAGTCCGAAATTTTTGTCTATTCAAAAATAATCTTAAATTGTTGGCAACAGTTTTTTATATAAATTATTTTTAAACCATATATTTTTTATTTACAATTTTTGACAGATATTTTTTATTATATTGTTTTGCTACATTGTGTCATATATTCTACCACTAAATACATCATTCAGGTTTGGTAAGTTATTTTATTTGTTCTACCCTAATTCACTGCCGTTGCCAGCCGTGATACTCATTTATCATTTACATTATTCAAATTGGCTTGTATCAATAATGGACAGATACGAATTTAATAAATTTAACAATAGTACGGACCTTGCCAGTGGTGGTGGTAGTCGCAGGTGCGCGAGAGCGCGACGGCGGCGGCCAGCACCAGCGGCGCCAGCGCGGCCAGCAGGCGCGGGGAGCTGCCGCGTCTCCGCGACACCACGCCCAGCCGACCGCACGCCCACGCCGCCGCCACGCCCAGCGAGCAGAACGACACTGCGCACCGGACACGGCATCATTATGATGGTGATGATGACGATGAGGGTGATGATGACGATGAGGGTGATGATGACGATGAGGGTGATGATGACGATGAGGGTGATGATGTCGACGATGAGGGTGATGATGACAGTGGTGACGATGACGTCATTATAATACAGCGGGACGTTATCGACTACATACGGACTAGGAGTAACCTGACATTAAGGGTGACTCAGCTGGAGTAGAGTCACAACGCGAGTTTCCAGTCGTTTGTGGCCCGACTTCCCACCAACAGTCTGACTATTTTCATGAAGGAGGACTACTGGCCGAAGAGTGTGTTTATAGTTATATTTTATACTAGCTGTCCAGACAAACGTTATTTTGCCTTAAAATAAAAAAAAAAATTAGGGGTGAACTATCCCTGACATTTAGGGGGATGAAAAATAGATGTTGGCCGATTCTCAGACCTACTCAATACGCTCACAAAATTTCATGAGAATCCGTCAAGCCGTTTCGGAGGAGTATGGGAACGAAAACTGTGACACGAGAATTTTACATCATAATTTTTCCCTATCGTCCAGTTCAGTATATAGATCCAATTGAGAAGAACTGGCAAGAAACTCAACTGATTTTTTTCTTTTTCAGGCTGTTGTTTACAATGTATATTTATATAGGTGTCTATGTCTAACATTAAATGAAAATCCAGTGCATGAACAACTATTGCCTTACACGCTCGTCATTCAAGTAATCGTTTTAATAATTAAGTTAAATTGCTATCAATAACTTTTACAATTAACTTTCATATTCAAAATATCTCTATTCATGTAGGTCTATTACAGACTCTTATGATATGTCAAATCTACCGTCAGTTCCGAGTTTCTTGCTTGTTCATCACAAGAAGAACAAACAAGAAACTTGCGTGTTGCTCTTTTAAGTAAATGTTGTTCTAAATAAATACACATTAACAAGGATTAGGCATTCTACAAATAATAACTACAATTTGGGGTTTTGTTGTGGTCGTGTGGTCTATATTAGAATAGAATAGAAAATCATTTATTTAAATAAACTTAATTTAAGCACTTTTGAATACTCAAGCAATTGTTTATAAAAAATATTATTTGTCCATTTTGACCCACTCAACACTTCCTATACCACGCTCTATTGGGTTGAAAGAGAATGGAAGTTTGAGGTAAGTTAAAATATAGTAGTAGATACCATATTACCGACCCCTACAGTGAAAACTTCTATTAAAGACTTCCCCTGTATCAAATCGCAGCGGGAGCCTAAGATTTAAGACAAATCAAAATATACACATTAAAAAAAAAAAAACGGTGAAACAAATAACGGGGAATAAAAAAAAAAAACTATATTACCGACCTATCCTCTACTTACAAATTGTTTTTATAAGTCAGTAATTCTAAGCAGCCTATTACAAATGATAAGAAAATATTGCCAATGAAACTGGACCTTAAAATGACCACTAATCTCGAATCGAAACTGAATACTAAAGTAATATCAGTAGGTATTCTATTGAAGTATCAAGTTATTACTTGACTATTCATAATTCATAATAACAGCATATTAGAAGAGATCTCTTTTAGAGATAAGTCCTCCTTTGTTAACATTAGCTGTAATTAATATACTTACAAATGTATTTAAGTGCAATAAAGAATATTTACATTTTTTTTAATCTACCGCTCATTCGGAAAGCTGTCTCATCACAAGAAGAACGAGCAAGAAACTTGTGTGTTGCTCTTTTAAATAATCCTTGTAAGTTTACATTTACAAGTCGAAACGTGTGAATACAAACTGCCAACCAACGCTATTTTTTTTGGGTCAAATATAAATATACAATAAGATTAAATCAGTCGTAGTGATTAGGGCAGACCAGTCCCTACAAGCAGCACCGCACGAGTATGACGGATGAGCCAGCCATCACTGCGCTCGACCATATTTTAGGACCAATGACCCGGCCCACCACGCCGCCACATGTCTGGACATTTTACTGAGCATGACTACTATTCCACTCGACCTCGTCACAGCTTAACAAGACGTTAATGCTTTGCACAGATCTTCTAAACGACCTGTATATTAAATAATAATTTTAGTACTTACAACTGCTGTGGCCGCTGGGGAATGACTTCCTCCCCTCCATGATGTCCAGGGGGTCCCCAGTACATTGTAGATACGGCCTGTTGACACCGTCCGGGAAGCAGCGGTAGAAGAAATCGGGTCGAGGACGACCTGCATTCAAAATTAATAGAGATAATCTTTATTAAAACAAACTTAATGTACTTTAGAATAGTCATATTTTTTTATTCTACCACTCATTCGGAACGCAGACTCATCACAAGAAATCATCATCACTTAGATTGTGGAATGAACTACCTGCCGAGATTTTCTCACGAGACTACAGCATGGGGTTTTTCAAGAAGGGTATATTAAGGTTTCTTAAAATCGGCAACGCGCACGTGACACCCCTGGTGTTTCAGGCGTTCATAGGCTACGGTAACCGTTTACCATCAGATGGGCCGTATGCTATATAGTATAAAATAAAAGAAGAACGAGTAAGAAACTTGCGTGTTGCTCTTTTAAATAAATGTCATTCAGAAATTTAAGAATAATTCTGAAGTTTAAGAATTTTGTATGAATACATAAAAAAAATAAACCTGTACAATTGGCACTGTGACATCTAGTCCCACGGTAAGCAGAGCTTGTTGAGTTTCTTGCTCATTCTTCTTGTGATGAATCTGCATTCCGAATGAGTGGTAGAATCAAAATATGACTACTCAAAAGTACTTGTAATGAGTTTATTTGAATAAAGATTATTTCTATTTCTATTTCTATTTCCTCTGTTAGATCTGGATTCGTAATAATGTTACGTTTATTCACCCGTCACCCGTTATTAATGTTATTTTATAATTGAAATTGACTTTTTTTTATTTATCACTAACTGTGCCCCGCGGTTTTAGTGGCATATCTGTTAACCCAGGGTGTCAACTACCTGTATACCAAATTTCATCAAAATTGGTCCAGGCGTTTGAGCGTGAAGAAGTAACAAATGTACACACCAGAGATGTTATGGATATGAAATTTCGGATTCGGATAAGTTTCGGATATAGGAATGATACGGATTATATTTCGGATTATCCGTTAGTTTCGGATAATTTCGGATATTAATTATTCAAGGATTTCAAAAGTAAAATACAAGTAGCTAATAAATGGTTACATAACGATTATCCGTTATCCGATAGTTTCGGTTACAATCTTACGGATATTTTTTATCGGATATCCGATAGTTTCGGTTACGGTTACGGATATTTTTTCGGATATTTTCGGTTACGGATATTTTTTTTATCCGAATTTCAAATAGTAAAATACAAATAGCTAATAAAATGGTTACATAATCGTAGTTTCGGTCTCAATTTTTTTTAGGCTATCCGATAGTTTCCGCGGTTACGGATATTTTTTTTATCGGATATCCGATAGTTTCGGTCGGTTAAACTTTTTTATCGGATTCCGATAGTTTCGGTTACGGTTACGGATATTTTTTTATATCGGATATCCGATAGTTTCGGTTACGTTACGGATATTTTTTTATCGGATATCCTTTAACATCGGATATCACACAAACTCACAAATCTTTCGCGGTTACGGATATTATAATATAAGTGTTACGGATATTTTTTTTATCGGATATCAATTTCGGTTAGGTTACGGATATTTTTTTTATAGTTTCCGATAGTTTCGGTTACGGTTATTTATTTTTTTTATCGGATATCCGATAGTTACGCAGTTACAATTTTTTTTTAAACTATTTGGGAACCAACATGCTCTAGGATTTATAATATAAGTAGGAATGGCTGATTTTCATAAGAGCCCGAAAATGTGTTATATGAATCAATATTTTTTTATTTGATTAGCTCACCTGCTATTAACTTCATGGTATCCGTAAGTACCCCGTTTATACCCAACGCTAGGGACCAGGCGAGAAGTATCTGAAATTATAAATATTTTGACTTCACTACATAGTATAAAACAAAGTCGCTGTCGCTGTGTGTCCGTACCTATGTATGCTTAAATCTTTAAAACTACGCAACGGATTTTGAAGCGGTTTTTTTAATAGAGAATGATTCAAGAGGAAGGTTTATATATATAATATATGTACACCGTGCGAAGCCGGGGCGAGTAGCTAGTAACACATACAATAATAAAATCAGGACAATTCACACAGCGCCATCTAGACCCAAGTTAAGCTTAATTTACCACGATGTGCTAACTGACCTGATCTCATGCTCATCTTATCATCCTCCTCTGTTGCCAGCGTATACCGTTAGCGCAGGCGGGTGCATCATTACATTGTCATTCATAAGAGTTAAGGCAGCAATAGATGGTCCACTCCACGAGTGTACCAGAATGGCAGCCAGTAGAGACAAAAAGTGATTATAATATACATATATTAAAATCACTAGTATCCTGATGACTTAGACGTCATGTTGGTTGATCAGGGAGAGAAACACCTCAATGCCTACAATATTCACAATTACCTATCTCTTATTTGTTTTTTTATTTTTGTGGCTTGGCACGTTGATGTATTTGCCAAAGACAAAATTAAAGAAACTTGTTTACCGATTAAATAAATTTAGGATACGGAATTCGGTATAGGATCTGTACAATCGAACGAGATTACATGTTTGTTTTAGTTCCTAAGTGTGCCACTAGATGGCGTTGTTTTGTTTTATACTTTTTTCTACATCGCGCTATTTAGATTTTTTTTGGAACACATATAGTCTTTTAATAATTATTAATTACATAATATAACAACCACTGTGGAAAGGTTTCCGTAGTTTAATTTATTTAACTACCCTAATCAAAGTACACCCTTGGGGATCCGTGGATGAGATCATTCAATATTCACATGTAATGTGTAATGCCGGTTGGACAGGGAGAGAAACACCTCCATGCCTACAATATTCACAATTACCTATCTCTTATTTGTTTTTTTTTTTTACTTTTTGTGGCTTGGCACGTTGGTAAGATTTTTACGAACTTAGTACGTCATATTTATTTATATTTAATTAGCAGCCTCAAAAATAAGTTTCAAGCTTCTAGCTTCAAAAATGACGATTCTTCCATACAATCTTTCATCCCCAATTTCAACCCATTACAACCCATTTTTTGCATTAAAAAGTAGCCTATGTCCTTTCTCAGGGTCTAGACTATCTGTGTACCAAATTTCATTTAAATCGGTAATAACAGTAGTTTTGGAGTGAAAGCGAGACAGACAGAGTTACTGTCGCATTTATAATATTAGTATTGGTAATCAACGTCTATGTGACAGAGATGCAATATCACGCCGCAAAGACAATGGGTCGACCATTGTCTTTGCGGCGTGATATTGCATCTCTGTGCATTTTCTACCGCATATATCACGGGGAGTGTTCTGAGGAATTGTTCGGATTAATACCAGCTGCTGAGTTTCACCACCGTACCACCCGCCAGAAACTGAAATACCATCCTGATCATCTGGATGACGCCATTCATCTTCTTCCACAGTGCGGTTTTCTAGAAAATTTGCCTCGCACAACCACATTGTGGAATCACCTTCCAGCAATGGTATTTCCGAACCGATACGATATTGAAACCTTCAAGAAAAGCTTATTCCTTTTTAAAAGGCCGACAACGTACTTGCAATTCCCCTGGTGTTGCGGGTGCTCATGGGCGGCGGTAATCACTTACCATCAGGTGAGCCGCATGCTCGTTTGTCCCCTGTGTTATAAAAACAAAAATATATTACCTCTAATGCATCATTACAGTCGTTACAAGCCGCCCAGGCTAGTAATGACAGTGTGAAAGGAACAGACAGTACTATAGCCCACAGCGCGCCGCCCGGCACGTACGAGTCTTGCCTCGGATATTTGTACTCCGTTTCCAAGTCTGATTCATGGATAACACGAACGAAGGGCGCCATTGTCTCCATATAACTGAAACAAAACAATTTTATATATATAATATCCGCTGTTATTATTTATCTATTTTTTGACGATCTCGGTGGTCTAGCGGTTTAGCACACCGCTTTACGACCGATGGTCGCGGGTTCGGTTCCTCGCACGACACAAAGATTTGTATTTATGAGTATGATTGTTTGTATCGGTCTGGGTGTTTTATATGTATAATATGTATGTGTTTACGAAAAAAAATTCTATGTGCTTGTATCAGTTATCTAGTACCCATAACACAAGCTTTAGGTAGCTTAACTTGGGACTAGATGGCGCTGTGTGAATTGTCCTGAGATTATTATTATTATATAATTTCATTATTATGCTCTTATCATTTGTATGCAGACGATCTTCAGGTTTACTGTCAAGCTTTGGCTTCTGAGCTTTATGAGGCCATCGACCAACTGAACAGTGATCTCGATCATATACTCAAATGGTCCAACAAGTTTGGAGTATCGGTTAATCCTACCAAGTGCCAGGCGATAATCTTTGGTAGCAAACAACAACTTGGCAAAATTCATTATGGCACTTTACCTCCAGTTCTCTTCAACAACCAACCGATTCCTTACAGTTCATCGGTAAAAAATCTTGGTTTGCTGATGGACAGTTCTCTCGGTTGGAACGACTGTGTTAGTGAGATTAGTCGTAAAGTTGCGCTGACGCTGCGTAACTTATATAGGTTTAAAAACTTCCTGCCGATTGGCACAAAAATTCTCCTTGTCCAATCCTTAGTCCTTCCCACTATTGATTATGCTGATGTGTGCTGTTCTGACATGAATGTTGACCTTTTAAACAAATTGGATCGTCTTCTCAATAACTCTATCCGCTTCATTTTTAATCTCCGCAAGTTTGATCATATTTCTTCTTTTCGTTCACAGCTTAAATGGCTACCTATCGGTTACCGTAGAAATGTACGTATGTTATGTACTCTCTATTCTGTTCTATACGGTCCAAATTCTCCTGATTATATTAACAGTAAATTTCATTTCCATGGGGACAACACCAATATTCGCTCAACTCGAAAATTCTTACTTCATATCCCAGCTCATCTATCTGGTTTCGTCCACTATTCCTTCGCCGTTCAGGCTATTAAACTTTGGAATGACTTACCCCTTAATATCAAGACCGCCACGAGTAGATTTTCTTTTAAACGTAATACTGTGGGACTACTATCTAAATTCGTAAATTTGTTTTTTTTTATTTATTTTATTTTTCTCTCGTTTCTCTTTAACTTATATTTTTCTTTTTATTCTCTGTGGTGTAACTGTCAGATTGTTTGGTATGTATTCATATAGTTGTGTATGTATTGTGTATGAGTAGGGGAGCGGGGGGCACATTGTTACAATTTTTAGATAAATGTTAATATGACAAAAGCTATGAAACAAATTATACATTGGATTACTGCCGGAAGTTAGTATCTATTTAGCTATTAAAATATGACTGAAAAATTATTAAAATGTATGTAATTTTTTCATATGGGAAATTTAACTAAACAAGTCGATTGTAACATCTTACCCCCCAATTTTAATATAGTATGTTACATCATCGGGGCATTATGTTACGTTGTAGATAAATAAACACAATCATTAATTATACATATTTTTTTATTATTATTTTAAAACATTATAAACAATAGATATATATATTAAACAGTCTTGTAACATTTAAAAATTTAGGATAACCAGTCCTGCCCAGCCATATTATTTTTATACCAACTGGGGGGAATATTTTTTAAATCGAGTTTTATAGAAATAGAAATAGAAATAATCTTTATTCAAATAAACTCATTACAAGCACTTTTGAATAGTCATATTTTGATTCTACCACTCATTCGGAATGCAGATTCATCACAAGAAGAATGAGCAACAAACTTGTGTGTTGCTCTTTTTAATAGATGTTTTTTTATATAAATAATTTTTATATAGGCACAGTATAACAAACTCATTATTAGTGTAATTAGATAATATTGTCAGTGCTATGGATTTGAAGTTTTTCTATAAAAACATTATTATCGTTAACGAATTCTTCAATTTTATAGTAAGCTAAACGTAGTTGTTACATGTAACAACTTACCCCAAACAATTGTAACTACTTGCCCCATGATACGTTTTTTAATATAAATTGAAGTCATCATTAATGTATATCAATATCAGAATAAAATAATATTTTAAATTCAAGGTAGATATGTAATGAACGTTCAAGGTTAAACATTTTGAGGAAATAAAAGATATAGACATCAGGAATCAAAAATTTCGTAAAAGATTTTTTTACTTACTTGGTTAAAATCGAGACACATGCACACAACCGCTCCTTGGCGCTTGGCGGGTCATTGATAGTTTTTATCTAGTGCACGACGTTATAAGAACACAAATGAGTCAAATTATATCCATCAAAGAGTTTAAAATCCCGGTAAAAACGCGTGTAACTTCCTACCCCTGTAACAACGTGCCCCCCGCTCCCCTATGTATTTGTATATCATATTATATATTCCTTCTTTGTTTATATATTTTTATATTTATGTATTATTGTAAATGTAATAGTATAAATATTATTATATCATTTTTTATGCCTTGATTTTTATTTTTTTTTGTTATGATTATTTTTGCAACGCCAACAATTTTTCTCTGCACCACCAATGGTTGACTGGCAGAAAATACCGCATGGTGTTAAGTCCGCCAAATGTACTGTTACTTTTGTAGTGTGCATTAAAGTTATATAAATAAATAAATTATTGTTATTATTTTATTATATGTAATTTTTTTATGGATGATAATGGAATGGTGCACCCTCCTGCGCTAACGGTGGCGGGGCACCAGTGGAGGATGAGGAGGTTAGCACATCGTGACAAATTCACTAAGAATTTATAACGATGGTATCTAGGGGTAACCGCGTGGAGGTCAACCTGACATGGTACATTGCTAGCAATAATATCATCAGTCCACATTACTAACAATCTCCTTTCCGTAGGACTGTTATGGTCAAATCAGAACTTATATCTTGTACTCAATTTACGTCGAACAATGTTTTGACACTATTTCACAACCATACGTCAATTGTTTTGATTTCCAGCACAGGAGGATTCACTTGTCGCAAGGTCAATGTCCGTGGGGCCGGCGGGGCGCGGTATCCGCGAGCGGGGATCCGCCGTGCATGTATCTCATCCTATCATCCTCCACTGGTGCCCCGCCAGCGTAAACAGATAGCGCAGGCGGGTGCACCATTCCATTATCAGCCATAAAAAGGACCCGCCGAGTTAATAAGTGTAAAGAAGAATATTTTATTCTAGCTTTTGCCCGCGGCTTCGCTCGCGTTAATTTATCCCCTTAGGGGTGGAATTTATCAAAATCCTTTCTTAGGGGATGCTTACGTCATAGTAGATTTATGCATGCAAAGTCTCAGCCCGATCGGTTTAAAATTGACAAAGTTTCGTACAAACTTTCATCTCCTATTTTATCCCCTTGTGGGTAGAATTAATCAAAATCCTTTCTTAGCGGATGCCTACTTTATAACATCTACCTGCATGCCAAATTTCAGCCTGATCCGTCCAGTGGTTTGAGCTGTGCGTTGATAGATCACTATGTCAGTCACCTTTGAGTTATATACTTATATATTTTATATATATGATGGTGGTTATTTTTATTTTATGGTAAAAAATAGGTCAGATTGTCCACTCCAGAGTCACTGAATATCATTGCAATACTGTGGACCTAGTGCATCTGGACATCAAGTAATATATATTACTAGCTGTTCCCATGACTTCGTCCGCATTAAATTTAACTTTATTTTTCTAAAATAAAAGTAGCCTATATTACTCCTTATTACATCAGCTACATGCGAAAAAAAGTACCGTCAAAATTGGTCCTGCCATTTCAGAGATTAGCCGGAACAAAGAGACAGACAAAAATTGTAGAAAATGTTATTTTGGTGTATGTATTACATTATCGTATTTATATTCATATGCATGTAGTAAAAAACGGTTATTTCAATATTACAAACAGACACTCCAATTTTATTTATATGTAAGTATAGATAATTTACTAACATGGTTTACATGTTGTTTACTAATATATATTCGGTTATTTTGGATTCCATATCCTGTTTACTAATATATATATTAGTCATATTAGATAAAAAATAAAAAAATATAATAAAGTTGAGCAACTGGCATTTGAGAATAAAATCTTTATCCGATAAATAAAAAAAATAAAATTCTTATTAAAATAAAAATCGATCTATTATTACAAAAACAAAAATTATCTAGTTTCAATACTAAATGTCGCGTCACTAGTTTTATATAGGCAATAATTAAACTAGGCGATTATTAAGATAAGATACTGTAGTATTTGTTTATCATAAATTCAACTTAAATACATACGTATTACAGTCTCAATTGCATTGTAATAGTAGTTTATTTAAGTTTTCACTAAACAATTAATGTGAAATAGCTTCAAGGTGATGTTATAAGAAATTTGCATAACAAAAACAATCTAGTCTAATGTTTATGTTAGAGAATAAAATTACAGACGTATTTTAGTTTCTATACAATTAATTTGCTCTGTATTCAATTTATAGGTATTTTTCCTGAATATAATGCATTAAAATGTTATACATTAGTCATAATTTTAACAGTAAAATATTTTTATTGTTGCTATATTTATTTGTACACCATATGTTGCGAACTTACCAAAAAGTTGACAGTAAAACGATTCTAACGAGTATTTCAATAAATAGATTGAAGCTAGCAGAACGTATCAGAGGCATTGTGCACAGAAATTTTGTGGTTGTGATCGAAAAAAATATTGTTATTAATGTTTTTGCGAAATGTGTGCAAAATAGAAGTACGTGATAATTTGACAGTATGAAGGACAGTGGCACAGACTAAAACGACAACAGTTCACCACAGACTAATTAGATAAATGAAAGTGACATTAGTGGTTCTGTTTGGAAAGTAAACCCGAGAAACGTAAAACGTCAATTTAACTTTACATAATTTCTGGAGACTTTTAATTTTACTAATACTAAATAGTAAGCATCCTCGGTTACTACAAGTTATTACTTTTATTTTATCTTTTTAAAATAGTGTCCATTCACGTCAATACATTGCTGCATCCGATAGAACCACTGAGAAAAGCACTTTGCCCACTCGTCCTTAAGTTCTCTTTGACACCTTCTGAAACGTTAGCCACCGAATCTCGGCGTTCATAAAACGTTTTCCTCGAAGTTTTTCTTTAATTTTTCGGAATAAATAAAAATTACAAGGTACGAGGTCGGAGCTTAAATAACACAGTATGATCCAGTAGTTCTACGTTGAGGTCGCCAAATAATCGATCATTTACCTGGCAGTGTGCGACGAAGCATTGTCGTGGTGAAGGAGGATCCTTGATGCAAAAGGTCGTTTAACACGCACTAAAAACACGTGGCAAACAATTGTAAACTGTCTACTTTTGGTATAAACCAGTAACTGTTTTTCGATCCTCTAAAACAATTGTCGCGTAATGACCTGTTCTTCCAAAGAACGAGGCCACCATCTGTTTTCCTATGCTTCGACCTCTCTTCACATTAGTTGGCAACTCCTCGGAAGGAAACACCCACTGAGCTGACTGTCTTTTAGTTTCGGGATCATAACAGTAAATCCAGCTTTCGTCTCCCGTAACTATGTCAAACACAAAATTTGAGTCACCTCCGTTAAATCTTTCATGCATTTCACGGCACCAATCAACAAAATATGACGTTGATTAATTTTGAGCCCCGATGAAATTTGAGGTTCCACCGGGCTCAAATTCCTGACCGCCAAATGTTCATGGAGGATTTTATACACTCTGACTCATACCAATAACTTAACTTGCCCGGATCTGCTGATAGGTCACTCTTTTGTCAGTCTCTATCATACGCCGCACAACACGGATGTTATCTTCAGTTGTCGCCGTAGAAGGTCGTCCCTCACGCAAATCATCGGTGAGATTAGTGCGACCACGTTTAAACTCATCAAACCAGTTGTAAACAGTGGCACGAAAAATATAATTCGGGGCTTCATCGTGGAATTTTAATACCAATCGTAGTCTATTATAACTTTCTTGTTGACCATTAGATGAATCGAAAGTCATAAAAAATTATCACACGAAAATTTTCTCGTGTTAAGTTCATGGTAACGTTACACAGTATTGTTCAATTTAAAATAAAACACATGAAAACGAATAAATTATATACTCAGTATTATTCGTAAAGAGTTCCATTATCAAAATTTTAACAATTTTTTTTTTATTATATTGCTTTCAAGTAGCCAGTTCTAAAAACTTTCAGTGTTGCCCTTGTATGGATATATTTTTAACTTTACCGGCCTTATTAGTTGGTAGTAAGGCAATGAGTGTTCCAGTGACATAATTATAATACTGTTTCTTATTAAGCTTTATTGTAATACACACAATTTCATAATAAATAACGTGTTCCCCCGTTACACTTTACTAATTCCATAGATAGGTATGAAATGTGTAAATGAAACCAACAGCCATTATATTTTAATTTATATGTTATTTAGCTATAGTAAAAATTAACTTAGACATTACAAATAGGTATATTAAATAACACAGTTATATTACAAGATTAATAATAGTTGACTGGTACTTTAATACCTACAAGTACATTTCACAAAGAAAGTACCATAATTAAATTAAAAAAAAAAAAAAAAAAGGTTACATTTGTCGATGTTTCAAATCGAAACCACATTTGAAGCAAAATTTCAATGTTAATAATAGTAATAAAAAATACATAAATATGTAAAAACACAAGTCTTCTTAGTTAAGAATAAACAAATATACATTATTTAATTTATATAAAAACAAAATAAAAAAAAAAACAGGTGTGAGTTTTATTTTGGTTTACTAATAGTGCCAGGTAATAAGTGTCCTGCTACGATATCCTTAAGCACAGGGAGTATCTTACATTAACCACATAAATTTACTAAAAAAAATTAACCAATTAAAGCAATTACATAATTGAACTTTTTCTGATAACGGGAGAGTTTCGTCCATGGCATCCAATGAATTTGCCACGAGCCGCAGATGGAGTATTCACGTCACAAAATATAGTGTAATATTTTACATAAATTACATCAGACGTCTATAAAAAATGCATAATTTAAATGCTTTACAATGCTTTAAATAAATAAATATATTTTTTTTTAAATGCAAAATATACGTACAATGTAATAATGTTGAGACAGGACAGAGGTTTTTTTTACAGATCTCTAAATATCGATACGAAATTTAAAAATAATGTTCGACTAAAATTTATTTTTCTACTTACAATAACATACTTTTAAGACTGTTACACCAATTGGGGTAGTCAGAGAGAACATAACACATTACATGTCTACTTTTCACTGGGTAGTCTAAAATAGTTCAAAAATACAATCATTAAATAGTCAGAAATATAATTTGACACACTAATCTTTACGTTCTCAGTGCATTAGACTAAGAATTCACAATACTCTCATACACATTCCTACTAAATAGAAATCAATAACCCCATAATTCAATATAGTATTCAAAATATACTACGCCTTACATAATCCATACAAATTAAACTAGATTGCATAAAAACATAATTATGCGGAGGTAACGAGTTCCTTCAAAAGCATACACGAAACGCATTTATTTTTATTAATTTTAATACTTAGTCTTAAGTCCTAACCACTTACTCTGTATATTTTATTCCATTATAAAAAAAAAGTAGAATTCCCGCCAATTTTATTTCACATGAATAAACATTGCAGTCCTTTTCATTTCTATGAAATTAGATAAGGACGTAGTAGTAGTGTTCTAATTTCAAATAAATGTATTATAATGGAATAAAATATATAAAGGAACTTATACAATCATTCAACTACAATTTGTTCAATATTTTAGTGTTGCTGTCCTTTTTGTGTTTACGGAATTAGACAAGGACGCAATTCATAGCTGAAATTCTACTAATGGTAGTTTTGAGGATGAATATTTGTTTCTTTTACATACAAAAACTACTGGACGGATTTGATTGAAATTTTGTACACAAATAGATCATATCCTAGACATATGATACGGGTAGCGCCGCAGAAAGCAGTTTTAAATAAATACAATTTAGAGAAACAAAATGAAACACCCAAATATAAAATCTACTAAATTTCAATAACCTATTGAAACTATACAATAATATATTTTTTAATGTATTTAGAATGATAAAAAAAACTGACGTACCACCTGATGGTAAGTGGTAACCGTCGCCTATATACATGAACAGCACTATGGACATCACGTTATCATGAGACGCCCGTGATACCTACCTACTCGCCTTGCTATTCCAGTGGAATTATATTGTTATGTCACTGCCTAATAGGGTTGCCAACTTTTATTAGAAGAAATAGAGTATATCTGTTTTAAAAGGAGGTAGGAGGAAAGGAGTCCTCGAACCCTTACCAGAAAATCTCGTTCGAATTGAACTTTTGAAAATTTCTCCCATTTTCAAAATAAATATAACAGATTTATTTTTCAACCACGACAATATTAATCATCACACTCATTTGAGAGAAATTGTCGAAAGTTATACCTTTGGAATGTTTGTATTTCTGTGGGCTGGCAGTGTTGTCAGTTTGACGGATGTTTGTGTGTTTTAATAAAACTTTTTCACAAATCAGTAATGTTATCAGAAGGTATTTATTTTTCCGAAGCACTGACAATATTTCACACACATTTATTCTCAAAAGATTTTGTCGGGCACAGGTACACTTTTTTCACAAATCAGTAATGTTATCAGAAGGTATTTATTTTTCCGAAGCACTGACAATATTTCTCACACATTTATTCTCAAAAGATGTTTGTCGGGCACACTACACTTTTTTCACAAATCAGTAATGTTATCAGAAGGTATTTATTTTTCCGAAGTCGACATATACTAACGCATTTACCGATCACTTTTTTCACCAGTATTCCGTTCTTATACTACCCAATGAATTCCTATAATCATAAAAACATCCTTGGGTGCCCAAGGGCCCCAGCAGTTTAATAAATTTTCTATAGAATTATTGATGGTATTTTTACGCGTCACGTTCTCAGACCAAATAAACAACACGTTACCAATTCACGTAAGTCAAGCAGTTAACAACCTCAAAATCCATGATACAATGTCAAGTCAGCTGTCAAAACTATTACTTCGAGCCATTGGCCGATGCTTAAGTAATGAAAATGGTGACTAATGCTTCGCTGAGAATTCTAATGATTATTAGTTCTTACTTAAGAAGAATTCTTGTCTATAAAACAAAAATGTTTGCTTAAGTAATTACTTTTGCTCAAGCAATTACTTTTGCTCGACTATAAATACGAGTGTAAGACGGCGGTGATTGAGCTCGCCCTTTTTTAGACTCCACTACCTAGACCCGTCAGGGACAAGAATTGAAGGATATTCTTAGGAGCGATCGTTTTTATCTCCTCGGGAAAGAGTGTAAACTTTCCAAAGGAGATATTTCGTTTATGCATGAGTGGGCTACAACCACATAGAATGTCTAGTGGCGTTTCCTGTGTTTTTGGATATTTGTTACTATTTTACACAAAAACTACTTTGATTTTGCTGAAACTTTATAGTAATAGGTATAGCTTATAACTACTACAGAATAACATATCGGCTACAAATTTCATGCGGCAGAAATCGCGGGCAAAAGTAATATACGTCAATTCCTCGAATAGAATAGAAAATTCTTTATTAAAATAAACTTAAATTTGAGCACTTTTGAATAGACATGCTTTTTTTTTTAATCCTAAAGCTAATAGTAAAGCTTTCTAGAAGAACGAGCAAGAAACTAGCGAGTTGCTCTTTTAAACAAACTGTTGTGACTTTACAGTTTTAAGTTAAAACGTGTGAATATATCTTATATATAAAATTCTCGTGTCACAGTTTTCGTTCCCATACTCCTCCGAAACGGCTTGACCGATTCTCATGAAATTTTGTGAGCGTATTGAGTAGGTCTGAGAATCGGCCAACATCTATTTTTCATAAATGTTAGTCCACCCCTAAATTTTTTTTTATGTTAAGGCAAAACAACGTTTGCCGGGACAGCTAGTTTGCTATAAAAAAATTAATTGACATTCATAAACGGCTAAAATGTCCTACATGAATAAATGATTTTTGAATTTGAATTTAAGGGCTCTTTTAGATCATGTATAACTGATTTAACAAAACTTACAAAGTTAGGGAACAGAGTTCGTTTTTCGTCGAATTTCTTCTCGTGAACACATCTGAGGAGGTACAGCCGCTCTATCCACGGCCAGATCATGTAGTCCAGCATCCCTGGACGGTTGCCGCCGAAGTAGTTCGTACCTGAAGGGGAATTGTTCAAACAAATTATTACTTTATACATCATTACATAGTCTATATATATATAACTCAAAGGTGACTGACATAGTGATCTATCAACGCACAGCCCAAACCACTGGACGGATCGGGCTGAAATTTGGCATGCAGGTAGATGTTATGACGTAGGCATCCGCTAAGAAAGGATTTTGATTAATTCTACCCCCAAGGGGATAAAATAGGGGATGAAAGTTTGTATGAAACTTTGTCAATTTTAAACCGATCGGGCTGAGACTTTGCATTCATAAATCTACTATGACGTATGCATCCTCTAAGAAAGGATTTTGATAAATTCCACCCCTAATGGGATAAATTAACGCGAGCGAAGCCGCGGGAGCAAAAGCTATCTCTTATTTGTATAAAAAAAGTCGCTGTCGGTGTCGGTCCGTCGTTATGTACGCTTAAATCTTTAAAACTACGCAACGGATTTTTTAAAGTGAGTGATTCAAGAGAAAGGTTTATATATATAATACATACACCCGTGCGAAGCCGGGGTGTGTAGCTAGTATATATATATATTTCGTTTTGGTGCCATTGAAAACTAGCAGTATGTTCATATAGGACATACAATAAAGCTGGGTGGAGCCATTTCAGTGTTTATATGTATGTAAAAAAGCCTTATTTTTAATTATCTACCTGTTAAATTAAATTAAATTATATAGACATTATATTTAATCTTTTTTTCGTTTGGTTTTTCATATTGTCGGAAGTTGTTTCATCAGAAGAACGAGCAAGGAAACTGCGTGTTAAAAGGCTGTGATATGCTATGCTATGGGACACAGTCACCTAGATACATCAAAATAATAATAGCATTTAATAATGTCTAGTAAGACAAATTCAATATTGTGTACTAAGCACTGCTGTGTCTAAACTGTGTCACCCCACCTTACATTTTCCTATTGTTATTTAGTATATAAGATCATTATTTCTATGTACATATTGTCAGTTTATTATCATCTGTAATATACATCGTCTCGACCAACAACATCGTATCATTTACCCGCAACAACTTAATTATAGATACATGCGTAAATAAGTGTATAATATTAGTAACATTAGAAAAATAATGTTTATTACCTCTCAAAGCGAGCTCTTTTTCAAATATATCTAATGTTTGGATTATCTGATCGCTGCCGTACGCGAAATTAGTGTCGAAACATTCCAAACTGCCTTTTATTAACTGGAAATATAATAAAAAATATATTATTAATTCGTCACGACTATTATAACTGATGGGGTAGTCAGAGTCATTATCAAAAAGGTGAACACAACACTCGACCAATCCAATAGACGGTGGTAGGCTGTAGCCTACTTGCGAGTCATGTTATCCTGGTACTTTTACTTTTGTATCGGTAAGCTCACGACTGTTATCTTTGATAGGGTAGTCAGAGTCATTGTCAACTGTCGACGTTGTGGTGGAGGCAATACTTGACATGTCCAGGTATATTTGAATTAAAAAAAAACATATTACAGAAATAGACGGTAGGCTGTAGCCTACTTGCGAGTCATGTTCTCCTGGTACTTTCACTGTAGTATCGGTAATAGTAAGATAACTTCGCGACTGTTATCTTTGATGGGGTAGTCAGAGTCATTGTCAACTGTCCATGTTGTGAACGCAACACTTGATATGTCCACATTTCGTTCGGTATATTTGAATAAAAAAAAAAACTCATTACTCCAATAGACTGTGGTAGGCTGTAGCCTACTTGCAAGTCATGTTCTCCTGGTACTTTCACTGAAGATAACTTCACGACTGTTATCTTTGATGGGGTAGTCAGAGTCATTGTCAACTGTCGATGTTGTGAACGCAACATCTGCCCCCATCTCTCGGATTATTTGTTATCAATGTTTCCCTTATCTGTTAAAAAAACTTAGACGAAATGTTACGAGAGGTAATACCTTTATTTACCACTTACCTCGTTAAATCTTTCAATGAGCAAACGATCTTGCGCCTTCACGAACGGGTCTTTCGAATGTAGCTGGTTGCGTGGGTACAACTCGTCCAAATAGTCACATATTACCACGCTTTCGAACAAATACTTGTCCCCATGATCGGTTGGTATTTCTAGGACTGGGATCTTCACTGAAAACAAAACGCACATATTTTACGATAAGTTTTTTCGGACTACTCTAATGCTGTTGGCCGCAGCTGGCCTTTACAGCTTCACGTTCAGCATCCGTTATACTCGTGAACGAGTGCTGCTTGTAGGGCCTGGTCTGCTCTTATCACTACGACTGATTTAATCTTCTTGCATATTTATATTTGACCCAAAAAATTAGTGCTTGTTGGTAGTTTGTATTCACACGTTTCGACTTATGTAAACTTACAAGGATTATTTAAAAGAGCAACACACAAGTTTCTTGCTCGTTCTTCTTGTGATGAGACAGCTTTCCGAACGAGTGGTAGATAAAAAACAAATTGTTATGACTATTCAAAAGTGCTTAAATTAAGTTTATTTGAATAAATGATTTTCTATTCTTCTATTCTATTCACCGGACGATAGGGGGCGAGTGCAGATGGCGCTCCAAATCAAAGGAAGGACTTATGGAGCGGCTGAAGGCCAACTCCTGCCTGACCGAATACCGAAATAAAATAATTGGATAGTTTTGGAACTTTCGCTTTTAGAATACAGTGATTAATAATAATAATATCTAAGGACAATTCACACAACGCCATCTAATTCCAAGCTTAGCAGAGCTTGTGTTCTGGGTACTAGACAACTGTATGCATTTTTTTTTAAATAAATCCATATTGTACATCGAAAACACCCAGATCGAACAATCATAGATTACAAATATTTGCACCGTGCGAGGAATTGATCCCGCAACCATCGGATAGTAAAGCTATATGCTAAACCAATAGACCACCGAGGCTGGCAATACGGATAACGTGATATATTTAGTGTCGCGATATTTCATCGGATAAATGAATGACAGTTTTTCGCTGTATCTAAATATATATAACTCAAAGGTGACTGACATAGTGATCTATCAACGCACAGCCCAAACCGCTGGACGGATCGGGCTGAAATTTGGCATGCAGGTAGATGTTATGACGTAGGCATCCGCTAAGAAAGGATTTTGATTAATTCTACCCCCAAGAGGATAAAATAGGGGATAAAAGTTTGTATAAAACTTTGTCAATTTTAAACCGATCGGGCTGAGACTTTGCATGCATAAAGCTACTATGACGTAGGCATTCCCTAAGAAAGGATTTTGATTAATTCTGCCCCCAAAGGGATAAAATAGGGGATGAAAGTTGGTATGAAACTTTGTCAATTTTAAACCGATCGGGCTGAGACTTTGCATACATAAAGCTACTATGACGTAGGCATCCGCTAAGAAAGGATTTTGATTAATTCTGCAAACAAGCAAATATAACCATAGCCTAAAAAAAAAAAAAATGTTATGACTATTCAATAGTGCTTAAATTAAGTTTATTTGAATAAATGATTTTCCAAAGGGATAAAATAGGAGATGAAAGTTTGTATGAAACTTTGTCAATTTTAAACCGATCGGGCTGAGACTTTGTGTGCAACTTCGTCTGCGTTTAATTTCACCACCTATATAAAGCTACTATGACGTAGGCATCTACTAAGAAAGGATTTTGATTAATTCTACCCCCAAGATGATAAAATAGGGTATAAAAGTTTGTATGAAACTTTGTCAATTTTAAACCGATCGGGCTGAGACTTTGCATACATAAAGCTACTATGACGTAGGCATCCCCTAAGAAAGGATTTTGATAAATTCCACCCCTAAGGGGATAAATTAAGTCGCGGGTAATAGCTAGTTTAACATAAAATTAATGTGTTAAAACCCGTGTAACTATATTAACAAATCATTGGAGTTCGCTATTTCTAGATCTATCTTATCTTATCTAGTGTATATATTAACATCAGAAGACTAATGATTTTATTTACATAATGCATGCAAGTTGGTATCTAGTATAGTGTCATAGTGTCATAAGATATGATTTATTTAAATATTCTTTATTGCACTTAAATACATTTGTAAGTATATTAATTATTATTTATTCAGTAGGTCTGAGAATAGGTTTATAACTAATTTTTATACCCCTATGTGTTAAGAGTGGCACAACTCAATTATTTGTTTTTATTTTTCGACAATTTTTTTTATAATGTGGCATTAAAATATACATTGAACGCTAAATTTTCTCCCTTATATCACTAACAAACCCCTATTTTTTAAATGCGATATTAATTTATATGGCAAAACAACGTTTCCCGGGTCAGTATTACGCACATTGATTTTAGAAGAAAAAGTCCATCGCATTTAAAATAAGTATTTCATAATAGTTTTGCTTTTTTTTTATCAAAATATATTTGCTGCTATATACATATATCCACGGAATAACTCTATCAGTCAGCTACACTTTTTTTATAGTAATACTATAAAAAAAGTGTACAGTGTACACACTTACGTCTATGGTTCTTTACTCTGAACCACTCGGGAAGTCTCAGCGGGTCCAGTTTGTAGATCTCATATCTTGATCTCTTCGCCTCTAGGATCAGGAGTACTCTGTGCCCGTATGGGTTCATATCTACGTGGTATAGCCTGAGCTTGTCTGTCAACTGCGGTGGAGGCGGAATGCCTGAAATAGAAATAGAAATAATCTTTATTCAAATAAACTCATTACAAGCACTTTTGAATAGTCATATTTTGATTCTACCACTCATTCGGAACGCAGACTCATCACATGAAGAATGAGAAAGAAACTTGTGTGTTGCTCTTTAGAACAACACACAAGTTTGTGTTTTTTTAGTTATTATATTAGAACACGTTATTTTTTTGTTGTTTTTGTTACAACACGTTGTTTTTTTAATTATTATATTAGCTGTTCCCGCGACTTCATCCGTGTGGAATTTAACTTTATTTTTTTAATCTAAAATTAGCCTAAGTTACTCCTTATAACATTAGCTACCTGCCAAAAAAGGTCCCGTCAAAATCGGTCCAGCCATTTCAGAGATTAGCTGAACAAACAGACAGACAGATAGACAAAAATTGTAAAAATATTATTTTGGTGTATGTGCCGTACTGTTTGTATTAGTCCAGGTATTTTTTATGTTCGACGTATCTGTTTGTAGCATTGTAGCTCCTACATTAATGGACCGATTATGACGGGGCTTATTTTCATTTTAAACCTGGCGTGATCGAGATAGTTATTTATTACATTTTATTAGGAACTTAACATTCCCAGTTACAAAAAACATCTCAAGTTTTTAGTTTTTCTTTTATCTGGATTACAATTTTTTTTCTATTTATAGGCAATTAAATTGGTTCATCAATTTTCGACTCTGTCCGTTACAAAAAGAGTTCAAATCTTTCCGCCGTAGAAGTTCTAAGAGACGCTGATGAAATCCCGGTTTAAATTAGATCGGCCACCTTTGTGCATGTTATTCTAATTAAATAAAAAAAAAGATGTTCCATATTTAAAATATTGGCGCCAATTGCGCAACCCAACTTGTCAAGTGTTGCGCAAACGTAATACAGATGAATAACAAATATTTGTACATCATAATGTACGTATAAAAATGTACTTAACCCAATAACCTATAGAAAAGTTAAATAAATATACACAGAAACTAAACCAGACATCATGTAAACAAATCAACAGTGAATAATAGCAGCTCGGTAACGCGCGTACAACCGGGTCAAGGCTGGAAATGGCATAATTTTGTTACATCAATACTCTGATGCAATGCGCCACCATCTGTTGGGGCTAATATAGGTAACAAAAACGGAGTGATTACTTGCTCAGTGAGTATAGCTGTATAAACATTTCTAACTTATACATCTTTAGTAGACAATTCTATTTTTAAAAATTTATAAAATAGTATTTACAGAGAATGTAACCTAAATTGAATCTGTGGAAAAATCTGTTTTATGTTTTAAAAGAAGGTGTTTGGAAGGTGTCATGATTTTTTGTAATATATTTTTTTGTACTTTTTAAAACAATACGACTTAGTTACAAATAGATAATGCTAAAAAAACTGAATGTACACTTTCATTTAAAATTTATTGAATTTTTTATATATGTAGTTTATATGTAAAATTTTATATACAATCTTTCTCATAAAACATTACATTGTTATTAAATTTATTTATTTATTAAATTCAGGCTACCAATGGCAAATATATATTATAAATACCTTACAGACTAACATACATATTGATGTTATTAAAATTAATTAGCAGAATTAAATAATAAAATAGGCAGGATATATTTCAGATAATTCTCTATTATCACAGCTACTAGTATTTAAACTAGTACAAGCCAAGTGTGTGTTTATTTATTTATTTATTTATTTCAGGCTACTAAGCCCACATTATAAATCCCTCATAGGCTATCATACATATGAAATAATATAAAATTAAGATACTGTAATTGTCTGTGTGATCACGGCACTGACGGCGGCAATTTTTTTTTTTATGGTTGATAATGGAATGGTGCACCCGCCTGCGCTAACGGTTTATGCTGGCGGGCACCAGTGAAGAATGATAAGATGAAAATGAGGTCAGGTCTGTTAGCCCATCGTGATAAATTCACCAGGAATTTATCACGATGGTTTCCAGGAGGAACCGCGTGGAGGTCAAACTGACATGGTGCATTGCTAGTGATGGGGTCATTAGCCCACGTTACTAACAATCGCCTTCGCCCCTTCCAATCTTTTTTCTTTTTGGATGACAATGGAATGGTGCACCCACCTGCGCTAACGGTTTACGCTGGCGGGGCACCAGTGGAAGATGATAAGATGAGCGTGAGGTCAGGTCAGTTAGCCCATCGTAACAACGCCCCTTCCAATCTGCCACGGTAGCGCCGGTACACCACACCCTTAGGCCAGTTTATGGTCTAATTTAAAGGAAAGATTTGTCTCACCATGACTGGGACAGCATGGAGTAGTATTATTAGTATTAGACATTACTAGTATATTCTAGAAGGTAATGTTGGCAGTGTATAGTACACTGCCAACATTACATTACATATCAGGTCGTCCTCCATGTGGTCCCTCCTAGAAACCATCGTGAATAACTTTTGGTTGACCAGAGAGAAGGGGATTGTTCGTAATATGGATTAATAACTCAATTCTTAGCAATGTAACAGGTCAGGTTGACCTCCACGCGGTTCCCTCTGGAAACCATCGCGATAAAACTTGGTGAATTTTTTTTTATGGATGATAATGGAATGATGCACCCGCTAACGGTAATGCTGGTGGGGCACTAGTGGAGGATGATAAGATAAGCATGAGGTTAGGTCAGTTACCCAATGTGACAAATTCACCAAGAATTTATCACGATGGTTTCCAGAGGGCACCGCGTGGAGGTCAAATGATACATTGCTACCAATGGGGTCATGAACCCACATTACTAACAATCCCCTTCCCCCACTTGGTGAATTTACCACGATGATCTAACTGACCTCATGCTCATCTTATCATCCCCCACTGGTGCCCCGCCAGCGTAAACCATTAGCGCAGCGCGCATTGCACCATTACATTATCATCATTAAAGAAAAATCACTTTTACTAAGTACGTACTTATATTTAATCATCTAAAGAATAAATTATAAAACTAAGTACATACTCGAAGAATATGAACAAATACTAACATAACAAAAAAAAAATTTAATAAAAAAAAAGTCATTTAAACACTGGTACATCTCTAATATGATGTAAGGTTTGTGGAAGTCAAAAAAAAAAAATACGACAGGCATGACATCATTAGAAAACAGCTGTTCAACAACATTGACACTCCTATATCTTAGTTTGTTTGATATTTGAACGTTAAAAATGTATATAATTATAATAATGAGTCCCAAAACCGGTTTGTTTTGTTTCAACATAAATTTATTATTAATTATATTAAAAATAATTAAATTATTCTAATAAAAAGTACATGTATTGACTGTTTATATTTTTTAACTGTTAATTAAAAATCGAACGGAATAATTTTTGGTACAGATTAAAAAATCAACAGAAATACATTTTTAAAAATATCGATTTATTTTTTAATCGGCAAAGTAAACACTCACCTGTATTCCTGTGTTGATAATACGTCATTTTATTTGTTTATTCCAGTAAACACACACGCAATTTACACTATTTATATTTAACCGGATTGTGAATATGTCTTTCCTCAGCCGATTTCGGTGTAGAAATAGTATAACGTCACATTTAAAATTATATCTCAAAGTATGACATCATACTGACCCGAATACACACCGAACTCTCTGATATCTGCTATGCGATTGAATTGAGTTTACCTCATTACTCCATTTTAATTCAATAATAGAAAGGCCTATTCAACTTTGGCGGGTAATAGCAGAAGGTCGATGAATATTTAAGTGCGAGTAGCTATTCTTTTGTAGATTTTTTTCATTTACCCGCTTGGATAATTAATTGACTGAATATGTAATCAGTTTGTGTTTAAATATCTATTTAAAGTAGGTAGGTATGTATCAGATTACAATAAAACTACTAAAATCATGCTTACGGAAAAAATGTCCGATATAATGTCATTTTTCTTTTTTAATAATTTCTTAATCATGATTAAGGATTTTATACAAAAGTTTACTGTATTGTTTATGAAATTATTAAAATTAATTTATAGATACGATTAAAATAGTGGATTCATTTTCTCTTTTTTAATTAGTTGAAACTTTTAGCAAAATGAGAAATTACGTTATATGTTTAAAACTTATTTCTTGTTTAATCCATATACAACGAATACTTTACCCATGAATAATAATATTACTGAAATATATTACATAATGCATACCATTAGAACTTTGTTTTACCTCCGTTTATTTTATTTAAAATTACCGCGGTTATATAGATTTAGGTTGTTTACCGTCCGTCTTTCATTCATTACTACTGACCTAAGAACGAGAACTAATGAACAAATACTTGTTCTTAGCCACTGACTGTGCTTTCAGAAGAGGTAAGTGACTTATTTAAAAATAATATGGTTTATTTATTTTTATTAGGTTATTTCTTCAACTTAAGCCTTGCAATAAATATATTTGTAACGTTACATAATATTACACGTATTAATATTATTTTACGAAGTATTTTTACAAAGTATCCACTCTACTAATACGTATAGAGAAAACAAGGGTGAGAATATTTTAAATAATCATAATAATTATTTCCCTACTCGTTTGAAAACACTAGTCATTTAAAATATTTGAACTAATAAAACGCAAAATCTTAAATAAATTGTGGAACTCCCTGGGTTAAACAATTTACAACATTATAGTTCACTAATTTATTTTATTTTTGCAATAGTTTAGTAGATTTTGATTGAACTGAATACAACATTATAACTAATATGATAACATATAAATCTATCAATTTCTAAACGTTACTTGCAACCTGTCTCTACCCTATTATTTATTCCACCAAATTAGGGGGTAGTAGTTAGAAAACTACGAGTCGCTCATTGTACATCACGTCGAGCACACCTAGTTCCACAATTTCTCCGCAAATAACGTATAGATTAATCTCAATAGCAAATAATTTCATACCTCAACATAGTGTTAGATATCATATTGGAACGATTACGTGTATTTAACATCTACTCGCGAGGAAGACATGAACAAGGTTTGTCTTTAGATTTGTTTTTTTTTTCAACAATACTATAGGTTTGTTTTCAATATGTACATGAATGTAAGTAAATAATCACCTTAATTTTAAAGAGATAACAAACTATTCTCAAATTCTTAAAAAAATCCTTATTTAGTTGATACATATAGACAGTATTCTAGTGAAGTAGGTAATTTTAAAACAAAAACATGACAGTTGTTGTGTTGTCATAAAAGTCAAAGCTGACTGATGTCAGATCTAATGTTTGGCGTATACTTGTTTGTTTCATTACAGCGAATATACTGCTATTTTTTAAAAATAGCAGAAAATAATTTAACTTTGTTATAAAAAATAATCACTGAACAAGAAAAATTACACGTAAATGTCATTATTATTACAAATTTTACGAAAATATTTCAATAAAAGAGCATAGTGTGTGACCGCTACGTATTGTATTTTAGTAAAAAAACAAATAATATATTTAATATTTAGTTTAAATATCAAATAATTAAATACATGGATTGTAAATAAACAAAACAGTGTTTCGGTGATAAGAGTAAGTTGTTAATATGCTTTATTTATTTTAATATGTTTTCGTAAATAATGTTTAAGTTACAAAACCAGTTTTATAATTTTGTCTATTCGATAGATTATGTATAAATCGACATTTGATTTTCAAAATCAAATTAATGTAATATTTAAAATGTATTTTTGTATTTTTTTTTATTCGATACATCTATTATTTAGCGAATTGCCAGTTACAATAAATTTATTTCGCATTTAAATGATAAAAATTTAATTATATACTTATATATGTGTTTAATAATTCAAGGTTACACACTGAACTTCTGATCCCATATAATCCTAAGCTTGTATACTTTATATATATTTAACATTATATTGAAACATATAATTACATACTTCTTTGCAAGTTTCATATATCTTCTGTACAGACAGAAATCAGATATACTAGCTACCCGCCCCGGCTTTGCACGGGTATACATGTATTAGACATCTTACATCTTCCTCTTACATCACTCTATCTATTACTAAAAATGGTTTTAAAATCGTCATTGCATAGTTTAAAAGATTTAAGCGATCAGACAGTAGAAGCAACTTCATTCTATACTATGTAAGGATCAGAATAACCGTGGACAATTCACACAGCGCCATCTAGTTGCAAGATAAGTAGATCTAGTGTTATGGGTAATAAAGCCTTTATTTACTGTTAACATTAATTATTATTGTTTTTTTATATATATATTATATATCTCCTGTTTGGGAAACTACTCTCTGCTACCAAAAATGTTAGGGAATTTACTATGTCTGTCACATACCTGTATGGTTCTGCAGATTTCTTGGGCTTCAGGTTCTCGAAGGTATCTTCGCTAGCTTTCCAGTTTCACAGTAGGTTCTAATTTATTTTATAACCAACATAAGATACTGCAATAAAAAATCTGTCATGATTCTATACTATTGTAATGGTCTTAAACTACCGCTAAAAAGAATCCATTTATCGTATCTCCTCAGTTTCAAGACACTCTCCTTGATGTGAAGCCAAATCTCGAGGTCCTTGGCGTTGATATATCCAGTGACGTTCAGTTTTGCGGACATTTGGAGGACAAGGCTAAAATAGCCTCAAAAAGCTTGGTATGCTCAGTAGAGTGAGACGGTATTTCACGGCGGCCCATCGCTTGCAATTACACAAGGCGCAGATCCAGCCGCATATGGAATACTGTTCTCATCTCTGGGCCGGAGCACCACAATACCAGCTACTTCCATTTGACCGCATTCAGAACCGAGCAGCCAGAATCATTGGTAATCAACGTCTATGTGACAGACTCGACCCATTGGCTTTGCGGCGAGATATTGCATCTCTGTGCATTTTCTACCGCATATATCACGGGGAGTGTTCTGAGGAATTGTTCGGATTAATACCAGCTGCTGAGTTTCACCACCGTACCACCCGCCAGAAACTGAAATACCATCCTGATCATCTGGATGAATGGCGGTCTTCCACAGTACGGTTTTCTAGAAACTTTTTGCCTCGCACAACCACATTGTGGAATCACCTTCCAGCAATGGTATTTCCGAACCGATACGATATTGAAACCTTCAAGAAAAGAGCTTATTCCTTTTTAAACGGCCGACAACGTACTTGCAATTCCCCTGGTGTTGCGGGTGCTCATGGGCGGCGGTAATCACTTACCATCAGGTGAGCCGCATGCTCGTTTGTCCCGTGTTATAAAAAAAAAAAAAACTAACTTTTCTCATAATTATAGGTGACCACAGCAAGCTTTGAGTTACAATATTATATCGCTACTATTTATAGAGATATATATTTTTTAGAGAAAGTGTTTTAACATTTTTATTCAGTCAGTCAGTAAAGCAATTAATTATATATTACTAGATGACCCCGCAAATGTTGTTTTGCCATATAAATTAAAATCACTATTAAAAATAGGGGTTGATTGTAGGAGGGTGAAAATTTAGGGTTGTATGTATTTTATAACTCCACATTATAAAAAAACTAAAAAAAAAAATGTCTAAAAAATAAAAAATATATGATAATAGAAATAGAAATAATCTTTGTTGAAATAAACTTAATATAAGCAATTTTGAATAGTCAAGTTTTTTTATTCTACCTCTTATTATTCTCATTAGGGTAGTCAACCCTTATCACTTAGGGGTATGAAAAATAGATAGTAGCCGATTTTCGGACCTTACTGAACTAGCATATAAAATTTAATAAAAATCGGTCAAGCCGTTTCGGAGGAGTATGGTAACTAACATTGTGACACAAGAATTTTATATATAAGACTAGCTACTCGCCCCGGCTTCGCACGGGTGTACATGTATTATATATATATATATATATATACCTTCCTCTTGAATCACTCTATCTATTAAAAAACCGCTTCAAAATCCGTTGCGTAGTTTTAAAGATTTAAGCATACATAGGGACAGACAGCGACAGAGACTTTGTTTTATATTATTGTTGTTAATGTAATACTACTGTATTATTGCTTTATATTATTGTAGTATATATAGTCTTTGGCCCAATTAATATTGTTCATAACGTACTCTGTGCAGTTGACAGAACCTGATTGAAAAAATGGCGGGAACGGCCTAATTAAATGTGAAGCGCAATTTAGCATTTTATTTATTTAAATATTTAAATACAGTACAATTATATTGTTTTATACTATGTAATGATGAAGATATTCTGTTCACTTTTGTGTTCTTTTGTTTTTCAGTGGAGGAACTTACAGTTACGGAAAATATAGTTAAAGAGAATCTATCCAGTTGCGATAGTAGTAGCCTGCAGCAGAAACAGTTTGGGTATGAGGTGCCCACGGTGACCAATGTACCCATAGAGGAGGTGGTCATCAAATGTGAAGTGATCGAGATATCAGACGAGGATGGAGACCAGACAGCCCAGAAAAAGTATAACACAACTGTAAAATCTATACATATAATTGGAGTGTCTGTTTGTAATATTGAAATAACCTTTTTTTACTACATGCATATGAATATAAATACGGTACATACACTAAAATAACATTTTTTACAAATTTTCTGTCTGTCTGTTTGTTCCGGCTAATCTCTGAAATGGTTGGACCGATTTTGACGCCACTTTTTTTGGCAGGTAGTCGATGTAATAAGGAGTAACTTAGGCTACTTTTATTTTAGAAAAATAAAGTTGATTTCCACGCGGACGAAGTCGCGTGTATAGCTACTTAATAGTAATAATAATAATCTCAGGATAATTCACACAGCGCCATCTAGACCCAAGTTAAGCTAGCTAAAGCTTGTGTTATGGGTACTAGATAACTGATATATATATATATATATATATATATATATATATATATATATATATTTTTTGTAAATACATAGAAAACACACAGACCGATACAAACAATCATACTCATGAATACAAATGTTTGTACCGTGCGAGGAATCGAACCCGCGACCATCAAAAGTAAGACTGTGTGTTAAATCGCTAAGAACCGCTTTGGTTTCAGAGGAGCTTCCTCTTGCGTACACTTAGATTGTGGAATGAACTACCTGCCGAGGTTTTCCCACGAGACTACAGCATGGGGTTTTTCAAGAAGGATATATTAAGGTTTCTTAAGGGTCGGCAACGCGCACGTGACACCCCTGGTGTTTCAGGCGTTCATAGGCTACGGTAACCATTTACCATCAGATGGGCCGTATGCTTATTTACCAACATCTTTATACATAAAAATTACGTGTCACGTCGTTTGTCCGCGATGGAATCCAAAACTGTACCGATTGCAAATTTGATTTGCAATTCGATCCAACTTGAAAGATAGGATAGCTTACATTTCAAATTATAGTGACGACCTCGGTGGTCCAGCGGTCTAGTACACCGCTTTACGACCGATGGTCGCGGGTTCGATTCCTCGCACGGCACAAACATTTGTATTCATGAGTATGATTGTTTGTATCGGTCTGGGTGTTTTCTATATATAATATGTATGTATTTACAAAAAAAAAATCTATGTATATGTATAAGTTATCTAGTACCCATAACACAAGCTCTAGCTAGCTTAACTTGGGTCTAGATGGAGCTGTGTGAATTGTCCTGAGATTATTATTATTATTATATATATATATATATATTTATTATATCTCCCTTTTTACGGGGGTAATATATTCAAACACGCGGGCCTTAGCCAAGCATGGATGAGTTATGTGACGAAGAAAGAAATTTTCTTACTATTCGGCATGTGTTTAGTATGACGGCTTTTTGTAATAGGTCTATTGTAGAAAGAGGGGATGTGCAACGTGTCTAGTTGTTAGTTCAGACTTTTTGGTATAACTCCTGTGGATGACAAAACTATGGGTACTATGTGGATGGTGTGTGCTTTCCATTGTTTTTTTAATTCTATTGCTAGATCTGTGTACTTTGTTAGTTTTTCATTGACTGTGCTTTGTATATTGTGTGTGTTTGGGATGGCTATATCTACAAGATATACTTTTTTATTGATTTTGTCGTGTAATGTTATGTCTGGTCTATTGTGATGTACAGTTTTGTCAGTAATTATTGTTCTATCCCAGTACAGTTTACAGTGATCGTTTTCTAATACATTAATAGGGCTGTATTTGTAATATGGAACTTTGCTTTCTATGAATTTATATTTATATTTATATTTATATTTTTATTATTATTATTATTATAGTCGCAATATTATTTCAAGAACCTTAGCCACAGCAACGCGTAGTCGGGTCTGCTATTAGTAGTATTAAAAAAAAAATTAATTTTTTTTTGCACCAGAAAGAAAAGAAAAAAGCCAAAAGTACCTAAAGAGCGTGTGCCGTGCGACCAGTGCGAGAAGTCGTTCCAGACGGGGTACGAACTGAAGAAACACATGAGGACCCACACGGGGGAGCGGCCCTACATGTGTACTACATGTGGGAAAACATATACGCAACTTGGACACTTAAGTATACACCAGCTATCACATAAAGGTAGACTACAAAAAACAGCAATATTCAGAATAGAATAGAATAGAAAATAATTTATTCAAATAAACTTACATTGAAGCTCTTTTGAATAGTCATTACATTTTTTTAATCTACCGCTCATTCGGAAAGCTGTCTCATCACAAGAAGAACGAGCAAGAAACTTGCGTGTTGCTCTTTTAAATAATTTTATTATTACTTTACATTTTTAAGTTTAAGTGTGTGAATGCAAACCACCAATTAGCACTAATTCAATTAAATACTCAAATAGGAAAAATATTGAATATATAACCAACTGGTTAAACAATTAATAAGAGGAAATCAGTCATAGTGATAGAGCAGACCAGTCCCTACAAGCAGCACCCGTTCACGAGTATGACGGATGAGCCAGCCATCACTCATAATATATTAATTATCATATCATTCATAATATTAATACTAGATTTAAAGACAAACTTACTGTCCTTTGACTTTTTCTAAACTTTTTTTGGTATCGTTTAGAAAAAGTCAATAGGTCTTTTATGGGAATAGGTATAAAATTTTACAATAAGATACCAAAGGATATATTGGAATTACCCTTAAATAAATTCAAAACAACTGTTAAATCATATTTACTGAGCAAGGCCTATTACTCACTGAATGATTATATTAAGTTTATTTGAATAAAGATTATTTCTGTTTCTATTTCTAATGACGAGCGTGCATGGCAATAGTTGTTCATAAACGGATTTTCATTTAATGTTAGACATAGACACCTATATAAATATACATTGTAAATAAACTGGCTTTTAGAAAAATAGTAATTCAATTGAGTTTCTTGCCAGTTCTTCTCAATTGGATCTATATACCGAACTGGACCGTGGGAATAAATTATAATATAAAAAAAATTACGTTCATAAGCGGCTAAAATGTCCTACATGAATAAATTATTGTTAAATTTGCATTTGAAAATTTAATTCTTTCTAAAAACCGTTCTTTTTATAAATATATTTACCAACCATTTATATTTTTTTATTATTACATTACATATTATAATTTTTTCCCTACCGTCCAGTTCAGTATATACATTCAATTGAGAAGAACTGACAAGAAACTCAATTAAATTACTTATTATTTTTTTAAAAGCCAGTTTATTTACAATGTATCTTTATATAGGTGTCTATAATGTAGTATGGGTCTACTAGTCTAAATATATATAACTCAAAGGTGACTGACATAGAGATCTATCAACGCACAGCCCAAACCACTGGACGGATCGGCCTGAAATTTGGCATGCAGGTAGATGTTATGACGTAGGCATCCGCTAAGATAGGATTTTGATTAAATCTACCTCCAAGGCAATAAAATAGGGGATGAAAGTTTGTATGAAACTTTGTCAATTTTAAACCCATCGGACTGAGACTTTGCATGCATAAAGCTACTATGACGTAGGCATCCGCTAAGACAGGATTTTGATTAATTCTACCCCCAAGGGTTTAAAATAGGGGATGAAAGTTTGTATGAAACTTCGTCAATTTTAAACCGATCGGGCTGAGACTTTGCATGCATAAAGTTAGTATGACGTAGGCATCCCCTAAGAAAGGATTTTGATAAATTCCACCCCTAAAGGGCTATATTAACGCGAGCGAAGCCGCGAGCAAATTATATATAAGCTAACTAAGAAAATGTATCTATATATTATCAGGTATAAAGAATTTCAACTGCAACGAATGCGGCTCGTCCTTCTACCGGAAAGCAGACCTGGACCGCCACGAAAAGGCACATAAAGGTATCAAACCGTACACCTGCGAGATCTGCTCAAAATCCTTCACACAGAAGAATAACCTAGTGATGCACGTCAAAATGCATATAGGAGATAAGAGGTATGAATGTCCGGTGTGTCTGAAGAGGTTCATGACGAGGAGCAAGATGATGCTGCACTCGAAGAGGCACGATAAGGATAAGAAGACTAAAAACGAATTTATGTCCTCGTTTGTTGAATAAAGTTATGGTTGGGAAGATGGGTTTTATTTATGGTTTTGCATGAAATTTTTTTTTAAACCGAATCAAATTAAATTAAATCAAAAATCATTTATATATATATATATGTATGTATTCAAAATCAAAATATCTTTATCCATGTAGCAATCAGCAATTCAGCAAACGAAACCTGGACGTTATTAACTTCTCTTACTGTAGGCACTTCACACTCCGAGCGTTTAAACAGAACGGACTGTGCACACAATATGGTGATTATATTAAATTACAAATATCAAAATATCTTTATTCATGTAGGTCTATTACAGACTCTTATGATATGTCCAATCTACCGTCAGTTCGGAATGATTTCGAGATGAGAAGAACTGACAAGAAACTCAGCTCGTATTTTCAAATAAATATTGTACATGTTTACAGACTTATGTAAATAATTAGTTTATTAGCATACAACGTTATAATTTGTTTGTTTCATTGCTTTCTTGATTCAATTATTTTAGAAATATGAAAGCGTAGCGGTTTTATATATATATTGCCGCATGCATTCTTATGTAAAATGTGAATACTATAACTATCAGATGGCAATTGTGAGTAGCTATGACGTGGTCTGGTGTTTTGAGTAGTCATGCTCACTAAAATGTCCAGACTTGTGGCGGCGTGGTGGGCCGGGCTCCCTAAAATGTGGTCGAGCGCAGTGATGGCTGGCTCATCCGTCATACTCGTGAACGGGTGCTGCTTGTAGGGACTGGTCTGCTCTAATCACTATGACTTATTTTCTCTTATTAATTGTTTAACCAGTTGTTGTATATTGAATGTTTTTTCTATTTTATTATTTCATTGAATTAGTGCTAATCGGTGGTTTGTATTCACACACTTAAACTTAAATTGTAAGTAAGAATAAATTATTTAAAAGAGCAACACACAAGTTTCTTGCTTGTTCTTCTTGTGATGAGACAGCATTCCGAATGAGCGGTAGATTAAAAAAAAAATGTTATGACTATTTAAAAGTGCTTCAATGTAAGTTTATTTGAATAAATGATTTTCTATTCTATTCTATTCTTATGAAATGTCGAATCTACCGTCAGTTCGGAATGATTTCGAGATGAGAACTGACAAGAAACTCAGCTCGTATTCTTTTCAAATAAATGTTGTACATGTTTACAATAATACAGATTCATTTTTAAATTCAAATTTGGGAGAATAGAGTGACCACCAATTTATGATATTGCAGAAGCAAATAGTGTAATCAGTGTTCGTAACCCGAACAGGCCAGTCCCCACAGCACCCGTTCACGAGTATGACGGATATATATGTATATATTAATGTTTGGTGTGACTGATGAGGAGCAAGATGATGCTGCACTCGAAGAGGCATGGTAAGGATAAGAAGAATAAAAATGAATTTATGTCCTCGTTTGTTGTATAAAGTTATGGTTGGGAAGATTGTTTTTATTTATTTGAATTGAAATTTTAGAAATTTAAACAGAATCAAATTAAATCAAAAACTATTTATTCATGTAAGAGATTTTAGCTATACTTTTTACCTATCATGATACAATTTGAAATAGAAATAATCTTTATTCAAATAAACATAATATAAGCAGTTTTGAATAGTCACATTTTTTTTGTTCTACCACTCATTTAAGAGCTCCCGATATTTCGACTCTGTCACAAACGTCTTTACGGGTCGACTGTGGATTATGAATAACCTTTTTCTACCCCTAGCTGTCAAATGGGAGTGGTAAACAAGCGGCACCTGATGGTAAGTGGTAACCGTCGCCCAGACCCAAAAACAAGCTATAATTCGGTTTTTTTTGGGCCTAGATGGCTCTGTGTATTATCCTGGATTATTATTATTTACTAGCCGACCCAATTTACATAATAGCTTGTGGCGAATTTACTATCATGTTGCGGCAACACCGTTGCCTTTTGATAGATGGCTTAATAAGTTTATATAATAAAAAAGAAGTACCCCGCCTCTTGCCATCTATCCTACAAAATACAGAAAGTTATCCATTTTTATACGGGTTTATACACAATACAATAAGAACGTTATAGATTATAACGCTAAAGATATAGTTAAATGTAATTGTTTGGCTGAAAGGAGGTTTCCAAGGCCGTAAAATACTTAATAATAAAAAAAAAATAGTTACGATAGAGCAAGAAAAATAACGAGCTTGTCATTCGGGCCCGAATCGCCTTCTTGTATATATATTCATAGTAAATATTTCGTTATTATTAATATGTAAATAGACATTACTGGACTCATCATTTCACCTGCTCCTTTCCTGCTCTACTATATAAGCTGCTTGTATCAAAAGAACACACAATAAACGCACAGCTTAAAGCTGCTATTCTGATGTATAAGCTATATTACTGTAAAGTTTCATTAAAATCCGTTCCATAGTTTTTGCGTGAAAGAATAACAAACATCCATCCATACTCACAAACATTCTAATTTATAATATTACTAAGAAGTGTTTTGCATCAATATTTTTTTCTCTACCGTCCAGTTTATTATATAGATTCTCAATATTTATAGTAATATATCGACGACCTCGGTGGTCTAGCACACCGCTTTACGTCCGATGGTCGCGGATTCGATTCCTCGCACGGCACAAACATTTGTATTCATAAGTATGATTGTATCGGTCTGGGTGTTTTCTATGTATAATATGTATGTATTTACGAAAAAAATGTATGTATTTGTATCAGTTGTCTAGTAGCCATAACACAAGCTTTAGTAGCATAACTTGGGTGAAGATGGCACTATGTGAATTGTCCTAAGATTATTATTATTATAATAATATATCAGTTGAGTACTTTTTGCGTGAAAGAATAACAAACATCTGTAGGCTACCAACCTCCTTGCATAAACTAGCCATATAATTCAGCTACATTTACTAAAAACTATATTCTCTAAATGTCAAATAATTTCGCTTGCAAATTACTGATTTAAATAATGTAAGATATTTTAGAAGAAAGAAAGAAAAAACATTTATTCAGTGCAATGCAACAATGTTACAATATAAGAAAACCTTACATTAATTATTTGTTATTTTTATTCTATATATATTATTCTGATATTATATGCCTCGTTATTTATAAAATTTTTCATTGCTATTCACTCCTTTTATCAACAGGCCAACCTAACCACACATCCATACATACTGACAAACTTTCGCGTTAATAATATTACTAGCTACTCACCCCGGCTTCGCATGGGTGTCTATGTATTATACATATAAACCTTCCTCTTGAATCACTCTATCTATTAAAAAAACCGCTTCATAGACAAATTAAATAGTTAATTTTCCGAAAATAAAAGTTACTTCCATTCCAATTTAGAAGAACTGGCAAGAAACTTCAACGTTTGGGCATTACAGCCTAAATAAAGTTGTAATGATAAACAAACTGACGTACCACCTGATGGTAAGTGGTAACTGTCGCCTATATACAACACGAACAGTACCTACAACGGAGAGAAGAAATAATATTAATAAAGAAAGAAATAACCCTGGACAATTAACACAGCACCATCTAGTCCCACGGTAAGCAGAGCTTGTGTTATGGGTACTAAACAACTGATATAAATAAATAAATAACCCTGGACAATTAACACAGCGCCATCTAGTCCCACGGTAAGCAGAGCTTGTGTTATGGGTACTAAACAACTGATATAAATAAATAAATAACCCTGGACAATTAACACAGCGCCATCTAGTCCCACGGTAAGCAGAGCTTGTGTTATGGGTACTAGACAACTGATATAAATAAATAAATAACCCTGGACAATTAACACAGTGCCATCTCGTCCCACGCGGTAAGCAGAACTTATGTTATGGGTACTAGACAACTGATATAAATAAATAAATAACCCTGGACATTTAACACAGCGCCATCTAGTCCCACGGTAAGCAGAGCTTGTGTTATGTGTACTAGACAACTGATATAAATAAATAAATAACCCTGGACAATTAACACAGCGCCATCTAGTCCCACGGTAAGCAGAGCTTGTGTTATGGGTACTAGACAACTGATATAAATAAATAAATAATCCTGGACAATTAACACAGCGCCAACTAGTCCCACGGTAAGCAGAGCTTGTGTTATGGGTACTAGACAACTGATATAAATACATAGATTTTTTGTGTAAATACATACATAATATACATGGAAAACATCCAGAACGATAGAAACAATCATACTCATGAATACAAATGATTTTCTTTCTTAAAACTCAATTTTCTTTCTTGTCATATCGTTTTTTCGTCATCCTCTGCCCTTATAACAATCCACATTGATATAAGTTCTCACACACTCACTCACATATTTAGTAGAGTCGTAGATTTACAAATATGATTCAAGTGTTTGGTGACACGAGTTTCGTTTCAATATAACCGAATATCGCATTACTGTTTTATTAAAGACTAGCCGTACCCGCGACTTCGTCCGCGTGGAATTTAAATTTCATTTTCTATAATAAAAGTAGCCTAAGTTACTCCTTATTACAGCAGCTACCTGCCAAAAAAAGTCCCGTCAATATTGGATCAACCATTTCAGAGATTAGCCAGAATCTCTGAAATGTTTGAACCGATACCGACAAAAATTATAATTAATGTTATTTTGGTGCATGTATCGTATTTATATTCATACGCATGTAATAAAAAATGGTTATTTCAATATTACAAACAGACACTACAATTTTATTTATATGTATACGCTAAGAGGCTTCGTCGGAAATTCCCTCTAATTTTCCCTCCAATGGTTATTTTTTTTAATAGAGAAATAGAAATAGAAATAATCTTTTTTCAAATAAACTTAATATAAGCACTTTTGAATAGTCAAGTTTTTTTATTCTACCACTCATTCGGAATGCAGATTCATCACAAGAAGAATAAGCAAGAAACTTGTGTGTTGCTCTTTTAAATAAATATTGATTTACTTATATTTAATTAACAATAAGGATTAGGCATGCGACAATCAACATAGAAACCCCTACGCAGTTAATCTCTGTTCAATCAGATAACATTGTCAGCGCTATGAATTTTAAGTTAGATATTTTCTACCAAAACATTATTCTCATTTATAAATTCTTCAATTTTAAATATGCTTTTTTAATTTCTTACATCGAAATAACACATTATACATTACAGTACTGGCCTGTTCAGGTTACGAACACTGATTACTGACTTTTTGCTTTTGCAAT